CTTTTGGCGTGCTGTGATGATTTTTCCATATATTGTAGATACTCCAGTTAATTGAGAACTTTCCATGAAAATGTAGAGAACATTTGTCAACTGATTATCAAAGAGTAAACATCATGAAACATGCCTACACCCTGTGGTTTCACTGGTGTGCACTGGTAAATTTATTGTGTCAGCACTGGGCTCTCAGGCATGCAACTTCTGATTTCCTTTTTTTCACTTCACACTCTATGCCATTGACAATTAAAAAACTGCTGTACAAAGTCCTATAAAGATTGGAATTTTCTCATTTTTTGGTCAAAGTCCAACTTGCATGCCTGGCTCTTGAGTTAAATTACAAAACAGCAAACTTTCTGTAGGCAAATTGAAATATGACAAACTTTGTTCCAGAACTGTTACAGGTACAGGCACTGGTACAAGTACATGTTGTATACATGTACATGATGTACTGTACATATATCATTCATGTACGTACATGTACATGTACAGTAGTAAAGATTTTTAGGCTAGACTTATAAGCCAAGTGTTTTGATTTTCTGTGTCATGAACTGAAAATCGATATAAAATAATGAATATAGTGACTTAGCTTCATTAAAATTTTTGCTCTCAAAAGAATTTTTTCAGAACTTTGTCCTTTCCAGCATACATGTATGGATCACTGTTTATATGTATCTTTGGACTTGCAGTCTCATTACAGACTGCACTTTTACAGAGTTTGGTCCTTTTTATTGAACAGAAAGTTAAATGTAACAGTACATTTAACTTTGTTTTTTCCTAATCAGAGTGGAGATGGGCCTGGATACATAACATGTTGGTTCATTTACATGTAGGATTTTACATGTAGTCTGTGTGTATAGTCAGCCCATATTCATAAAAATATTTTATGCATATTTAATATGCATAAAAAGGTACATTTGTGGGGCATACCAGAAAAAACTTATTTAGAATGATAAATTCTAATCACCGTGTGCCTACATGTATGTACCGCGTAGTTGTAGTAACATTTGCAATTGTTTCCTCATTCTTTTCTAGGAAACACCCTACCACATGACCATTTTGTAGCAGCTCATGTACATGTTTATTTTTATTTATTTTTTTTTTAGAGAAAAGGGGAATAGAGTATTGCATTAAAATGATAGCAGTTGTGTTCTGATGCACACTCCTTGCAGAGAAATACCAGAGGAAGTGAGCTGCTGAACCAAGTCTTTGACAAGTTGAATCTTCTGGAGAAAGATTATTTTGGTCTGCGCTTCCTGGACTCCCAAGATCAAACGGTAAATATCTCGGAGTAACAAGCTGAAGTTCTAAAACCTCAACTTAATGGTGAATGTCCAGTATACATGTACATGTGAGTTTCATTAATTCAAACTTCAAACATTAACTCCTGTTCATGTGGCTTGAAAAATGTCCTAATGATCACACGGGATATCACTCTATGTACATGTACATGTATGCCCGACTAAGGCGGTGTCCGAAACGGGCTGTCAGAGCTACGGCTAGGTCTATTGTCCGCGCATCTCCACACATTTCCAATGGAGTGAAGACCCAGACCTAGCTCTAGACAAGAGATTCGGATACAGCCTAACAGCGAAAGTTCCATGAGGAAAAGAACAGCTCTCTGGCATAAAAATGTGCACACACTCTTTGTGAAATATTACATGGTCTGTTTTATATTTTTGTAAAACTATTTAGCGGTATTTTTCCTGGTGGAGCTACCCCATGTAATTCAAGTTATTCATTTATAAAGAAACTCTGGCGCTAAATCCATTCTACATACGGTACATGTGCCGGTACATCCTCCTGAAGTAATTTATATCGGGGCTGAACTAAGGAAAATCAAAGCACTGGAAAAGCATATTATTGTATACATGCATTTACATACTAACATGTAAGTGTACTGGGTACATGTAGCTAATTTTCACAGATTAGTTACCATATTGGTACTGCCCGCATATACCCATACCGTTTGATGGTTTTTGTTTTGAATTCATACACAGAGAGTAATTTAAAGCCATCCTTGATCCACTGTCGCCACCTTACCTACGAGTAGTCTCTTGGCCATGACTGGATTCAGCAAGGCCACATTTTTAACACTTCTTGTCACGTTTCACGCTTGGTCCACTGGAGTTTTATTAATTTCACAATACATGTACATCTCACTTAGTTGAATGGAACTGGTTTAAATGTTACATGATTTATCAAGGTCACCAGCTAAATTGATTCCTGCTTTATATTAAAGATAATTAAATGGCCAATTTACATTGTGATATTGAAAATGTAGCTTTTAAAAGTGAATGCAATAGCATACAGGTGGCTTGTACGCATGCATCTACCAGTTACATGTACGTGTATGTACCGTACATGAAGCTGGTAAAGAAGAATATTTGGGGTGACTTCTGAAGACGGTTCTTGAGCAAGTACCTGTACATGTAAGTACGTTGAGTACATGAAGTCCAGTAAAAGGGTTCTTGTTTGAACACATACATGTACATGTGCATGGGTACTACTACCTTGTTACATTATGTGTTCCATAGCATGGATCTGTCATTCTAGTGACACTGTACACATACCATAACCTCAGGACCCCATTCTGTCAAGAGAATGACAGTTGCCTGGTCCACATTGTTTTTGTTGTCATAACTTCTTGACTTTGGGTGCCACTCATTGCTTGGGACAGGGAGACTTAAATGTATGCAGAAAAACACCCAAGAGCATGTAGCACAATGCATGGATACAGTGAATCATTCAAGTGTATGTGTTGTGCAATTGTATGTACGGTATTTCTGTTGAATACAGCCATAACAGAGTTTCCACTATTGTTTGCCGCATTCCTGGCTCATTACTAAGCAAACATTCTGCCTTTCCTCATTGTTTTTTTTCCAGAGGATTAGCATATGTTTTTAGATGTACATTGTAATTTCTGCATTCTTTCAAACAGTGATTTGATATTATGGAATTTTTGTCCTTTAAATAGAAGTACCGCCACTACCTTACATTTACATAGCAATACTTGAGTGTGAGAAATTGTTTACTCTTAAGGGAAAGTATTACATTCCGGATGGAATACATGTGCATGCATGAACTTACATGTACCGGTACATGTAAATGTGACCTGTTCCCACAAAATGAGGACACGTACTGTACGGTACAATGTACATGTACATGTAGGTGAGAAACAGAATTGCCTTTTTTGTTTTTGAGTTTTCCAGTTTACCGGTACATGTATTGTAATTCAACTCCTATAATTTACATGTGTACTGCACAGTGCGTACATTTCTGGAATTACACATGTGCATATACATGTGCGGTACGGTACATGTTTCCAGTATAGAATGTCTGTCAAATTACACAGCCTAGTACTAGTTGGTACTAGTACTAGTAGGTAGAGAATATACATGTGCATGGAATGACGAAATTGAACATGTACGTGTACTGCATGTAGCATAATTCAGTACATATACATGTATGTGTACCGGTACCCGGTACATGTGCAGTGAAGTGCATACATGTACATGTACGTTACCAACACACATGCACTAGTATGCGCAAAACATCCTAAACTTTCTGAAAATAATTTACAATTTTGCATAGAGACTATCTAACATACGGTACATTACATTTTGTGTACACTGACTGGTAACTCCTTTTTGAATTTCGCTTTCAGCATTGGTTGGACCCAGTCAAGGCAATTGGCAAACAAATAAAAAGTAAGTACTGTGCTTGAAATCATTCTTACAGTTGCATCTTGAAAAATGAAAAATCAAATGAATCCCCACAAGCATAGTACAACAACATGTCAATGTACGAATACTGTACGTGTACATAAATTTTGTTTTTGGTGGGGAGGTGATAAATTTGGCAGTAGCATTTGACTACTGTGGTCAATACAACGTCATACAGTCATGCTCTAGTGGACATGGTAGAGCTAGGGACTTCACCACAAGGGTATGCCCACACTACTCATTTTAAGTACAGTAATTTTCCCAACAATACGATCTTTCCCACAATGTGGTCCTGTGGCTATGGATTTATTGAGTACAAATTGACATCTTATTATGACATCACAAGTTGATCTACATTGTATATGTACATGTTCATGTGTGTTGTTTTGTAGTCTGTTTTGGTTTAGAGATGGTGGTGGTTACATATTTTGCAAGGCCTGTGATTTTATCTTTATATTGTTTGGATGCTTGTACTGTACTTTCTTTCTTGCCTTTTAATGTGCACAACTTTGTCATCGGCTTAAAGCTAGTTGATTCATTCCTGACATTAATTACTGTACATTCTGTGGCCAAAATGTTCTGAGTCATGAAATACCGGTATCGCAGACAAGGGAAGTGTACATGTATGCATGCAGAAATCTTAAAGTTGCTCCTCATTCTTGTCTTGAAAAGGAAAGTACTGTGCTTAAAAAACTACCTATGGTAAGTGTACTTACATGGGAAGTTGAGAACAGAAAAAACAAATTGAGCAAGTTGAATAAAGAAGGAATGAATGGGAAGTCACAAGATCTGTTTTCACATTAAAGAACTTGAACAAGTCCAGCACATTGGCAATACACCTTGTGCTTGAACACTCAGTGGGATACCCACATCTTGTCTAATCGTCATGGTATTAAATTGTCGATACATGTATGAACATGTACATCAAAACAGAAGTACATGTACATGTAATAATCACCCTCTTTAATACATTTACATGTAGAGGTACCGCTAATGTGTCAAAACTAACAAGAGAGCTTTGGTTCCTACTGCTAACACCCTTCTTTTTATGTCAGATGGGCCACCCTTCATTCTGTACTTTGGGGTGAAGTTCTACATGGAGAACCCATGCAAGCTGAAGGAGGAGGTCACACGCTACCAGTTCTTCCTGCAGCTGCGGATGGACATGCTGCAAGGCAGGCTACCGTGTCCTTTCCATGCTACAGCCGAGCTGTGTGCCTATGCTACGCAGTGTGAGTCTGATGCACTCGTTGTTGGATGGCCTGTCCTAAATGAGTCTTTTGAATCGTTGACCTTCCGTTCGATGAACTCTTGCTTTTATAGAAAGTGAAAAAAAATCTTAACAGAAACACTTGGAAGAAAAGTAGGTTTTGGCCTTTTGGTAATTGTTGGTTTGTACAGGTAACTTACATGGTACATGTACATTGTTTCCTATTTATTTAATTGATTGTAACCTTCGAATATTTGATTTTGAAAGTGAATATTCTAATATTTGATAATCAGTCAAATACCCAAAATATTTAAATAATTGGCAAAGCTGTAGTCCTACATGTATGGGATATGCTTCATGCATAATTAGACACAGGGAAAATTGCACCATGCCATCGGTCACAGTCCCATTGTGGCTTTCTTCATTTTCGTTGATTTTATGTGTCACGTATACATATCGGTATACAGAAATTATCAGGTGTACAGGTACATGTAGTTGACATGTGTTTATGTGTGGGATATAAGCATGGAGTTAATGTAAGACTGTGCACCCAGACATACATGTACATGTACATGATGATGTACATTGTGTCTATTCTGCACAAGACCCAACAAAAAGCAGTTGATTCAAGGGCAAAATAAACACAGACTATCAGCCTTATCTCCCATCAGAGGGAGATGGAACTTGTTTAGCAACTTTAAAGACCTGAGTACACCCAGCACAGTGCACAACTGTTTGCTGTGCAGTGCACTATTAAGGCCTTTGTGCACGGTGCTCACAGTCCAAAACACTTCACTATTGTGAGACTTTGCTCAGGAGTTCCAGTCATCCTGATAGAGAAACCAAATTCGAATCTGCTGATAAAATTAACAAGGACAAACTGGCTGCCTGAATGCCCTGAGTGTCTCTATTGACTTCACTGGCAGAATATGAAGTCGCAGAACAAGATAAAGTAAGAGATACTTGTATGTACATGTACCATAGTGGAATTCCTGTGGGGGCGCTGCGTGCATGCAGGAAAGTGGTGGATTTTGGTTCAGACCAGATGCTGGAATTTGACAATTATTTGAATGGGCTTCTGTCAGTTACTGGTATTTCAAGATGGGAAGTGCCAATGTACAGTAATTTTTTAGTTATTATGTCTGAAACCACTTTATAAATTGGCGAATTAATACTAGACAGGGGTGTGAAAATTTAGCTGTTTAGCTGATTTCAGCTTTTTTTGTTTACATGTAGATTTTGACCCTGAATTTCAGCTTTTTTTGTACACCTGGTCTGTACAAGAGTATGGTAACATTTTACATTTCAGCTTTTTACTGGCTGTTTTCAACTTTAATTTTAAGTGGCCACTCACACCCCTGAATAGTGGAGGAAAAAATCTTTGTTCATGTTTGCCTGCTAACGCAGGGACCTGGGAAAATGTGTCATTGAAAGCTACATTAAAGAGAGCTATTTCAAGTCATGTCAGACAAGGCACAAATACCAGGAGAGACTGAAACTAAACTGAATTGTGATGTCCTACAATTGTGAGACTGTCATGTTGTTTTAACTGAGGAATCTGGTCCATTGCTTCCAGCTGAGCTTGGGGACTATGATCCAAGCCAGCACTCCGTGGGATACATCTCAGAGTTCCGGTTCATCCCCAACCAGACAGAGGAGCTAGAGCAGCAAATCACCCAGCTACACCAGAAACTCAAGTAACTGCCCTTGTTTTATTGTGGTATTTTATTATTTGGATCACAGCCAGGATAGCTCACAGAAGTCTTCTGACTTTACTGGTATTAATTTACAGCGGGGTCTCTTGGTAGAAGAAAACTATGAAGAATGTTCAGTTTTTAGAGGTGGGAGGGGAACACCTTCTGGTGAAACTCATGGAATTGGGTGGACACTGAAAACCTCAATTTACATACTGACCTTGGGAGATTTGAACCTCGGTCGCAGAGGTGAAGGTGAGGAAAGTACAAGTACCAGTTCCACTGCTCTAAGGGGGGGGGAGGTTTGATATTTGACTGGTAATGATTATTGACCAGTTCCAGTTTGGAGGTTTAATTCTCCTGAACTGCTTGTTGATTGTGTAACGATTCTGTGGAGAGAAAAGAAGTACTCATAAAACTTTCCTTATGTATCTAAACAATGTTTCCAAATTACTGTAACTGTTTATTTTTTCGATAGAGTGTAGCATTTCCCCTTAAAAAGTTGAAAAGACATGGACTTCAACCACAGTGTACAGACAGAACCATTCAGAATTGTGCTGCGAAGTGTAAAAAAAAAAGTCCAAGCTTTTCTGCATCTATTACTTATGAGGACAGACAGTATTTCTATTTCCATTTCACACCTGCTGCAGTTAAGAGTACATGTAATTCAATTAGGGTGTTGTGGCAATTCTACCACCCCAGGGGAAAGCAAATTGCTCTGGCTGATCCCTGATGTCTCATTTAATGCTGCTCCCCTGGTGGAGTACCTGTCACTTGCTGTTAACTTAATGTAATTACATGTACCTTGGCCCTTCCCACACCAGGGGGAAATTGGGCTGGGTCAGTTTTCTTAAATTCTCTTAAGTTTCCCATGGTTTAAGTTTAATTGTAGATGTACTGGTGAGTCATGTGCACATGTACATTCATGTTTTTTCTTGGCCGTTTTAAACAGTTGTCACTTTTCAGTACATGTATCTTGCCAGCTTATGCACACTTACTGCCTCACTCAACTTTATCTTCACTGACAGGGAAGAAAACTGAAACTTATTAGTGAATTCTGCAGTAGAATTTATAAACGGACAGCAAACCAGCCTGTCTGATGTTGTTTCTCCCTTACAAGTATAATTCGCTGTATGCCCGGCCGAAGGGCGTAAGCACTTAGGCCCTTTTGCCAGGAAGCATTATCACTGCAAAAAACTTTTCCCGGCAAAAGGACGAAAGTATGCAACTATTGTATTTTAATGAAATATGAAGATTTCTTTGCAAAAAGTAAAAAACAATGCCCAAGTCCTTTAATAAGTTGTTCAAAGGTTGCTGTTTTGTACAGCCCAGGTTGATTTTGTAGTAAATTATAGCCGTTTTTTTCTGCTGTGATCATGTTTCCCCGCAAAAGGGCGTAAGTGCGCTTACGCCCTTCTGCCAGGCACCCGACAAATTGGTCTTGGGATGTAAATTAATGAAAATCACATCAAACAAGAAAAATGTACATGTACTGTAATGATCAGTCAACTCTCCTCGTTATCTGAATGTCTGTGTACACACATTATATAATGTACATGTAAATATCTCTATAAGAACCTGCAACCTAACACGGAGGAAGGAAAACTAGCGTGTACATGTACATGGAACCACAAAGAGAGCTGCACGTGGGCTTTGTCCATATCAAGTAGCCACAGCCAGGAATAGCACACATGTCTATTGGAATAGGTTATAGTCACTGGCCAGTGGCTTTCTAATAGATGTACACGATATTTTCAGTGGTAGCCACACCTGGTGGACACACTACCATCTTTCCAAAGATTGTTGCATTCAAGCAGGTCAATATTTTTTGCTCCCACAGAGGTATGGAGCCTGCCAAGGCCGAGGTGAGCTTCCTGGAGCGAGCCCGCTGGCTGGACATGTACGGTGTGGACCTCCATCCTGTCCTGGGGCACAACGGTGTAGAGTTCTACCTTGGCCTGACACCCTCGGGCGTGGTGGTGTACAAGAACAAAGCCAAAGTTGCACGCTACTTCTGGTAAGGGCTTGCAAGTGGTACTTCAGAACAATTACAAGGGAATTTTTCCCTTTTCTGTTTTAAATGAAACTGTTGGGATGACTTGTTCAGTGAATGGATAATTGTAGGTGTAAGATTGAATCATTTTTTACCAGTTTGGTGTTGTTGGGCCTTAAACTGTTGCTGTAAGTTTGCTACATTTAAATCCACAATTTTCTGCAAATCAGGATTGAATGATGGCGTACATTTTAACCAATTTGATGTTCTTTTTCTGAAGGAAAAAAGAATTCTAGAATATGAAGCAACAAAAGAAAGTTATGTAACACCGCACAATTTTTACAAGGCGGCAAGCCTGGCTGAAATACTCTTGGCATCAATAGAGTTTGTCTGTCCAATCAGAGTTGCCACCAGACAAACACTCTGTGGAGTTTAGGTGTTCAGGAAAAAAAGATAAGAATTTTCGAAGATTTTTGAAAACCAAAGATATTGGAAATTGCCCGTTATGTAGGCACTGCATTTTTAAAAGCACCTGGCAGGAAATGGTTAACACTTGTGACTTGCAACGGGAAAAGTTGTGTAAAGAATTGAACCTTGGCATTTTCACTGACATTTCAGAAAGTGTTAACATAATTTCCCTCTTGTGTGAGAAGATATAAAACTTTTCCCACTTGTTGTAACATCTGCGAAAATCTTTTCCCAGTTGGAAAAATTTGAGAAAATTTTTCCCACTTAACACAAAATCTATGAAAATCTTTTCCCAGTTGTGTGAAAACATGTGAAAATCTTATCCCACCTGTTTGAAAATCTCTGAAAATTTGTTTTTGTAGAGTGCTGTGGCCTTGTGGTTAATAGCATGGGATTTGTAGTCGAAAGCCCCATGTTGTGGGTTTGAATCTAGCCTAGGGTCATGGTGTGTGTGCCTTTGGGCAAGGCACTTTGTCACTCTTTGCCTCACTCCACCCAGGAGTAATTGGGTACATATGAGGGCAAAAATGGTTATTGTGGTTGATTTACTGGTAGCTGCTTTGAGCCAAAATGGCAGCATCGAACTGTATACTCCCAGGGAGCTGAGATGGTATTTGGAATGTTTCATGGGCTCAGTGAGCAGGGGTAATAATAATGGAAAGCACTTTCATCTAAATTAGTATATAAACGCTACATAAAAACTGCTATTATTATTTCCCACTTGTTTGGAAAAGCTGTGAAAATCTGTTTTCATTTGTAGGAAAATGTGTGAAAAGTTTTCTCGCTTCGGGAAAATTGTTGAAATTCTGTTCCCACATGTGGGCAAATGTGTGAAAATCTTTTCCCACTTGTGGGAAAAGATTTCTGTGTTTTGTGAAATGAAAATGAATTCCTTCGGAATGGGAAAAGTGTGAAAATAATTCCCCATTCCTATGCAGGTTAACTTTAAGTCGCAATGTGCTTTACCTACTGTACTTAAACTGTTACCGGTACTTTGTAAGTGCATAAGTGACTGGGGTACAGAGAGCACAGATTTCTGAAAATGTACATGTACAGGTGCCCTTTTATAATTAACTTCTTACTTGAATCCAGAATCCAGGTCAGCCTTTGCTGAGAGCTTTCTCACACCTGTTAATATGGTACGTTTTATTAAAGTACGGGTAAGGTGCACTGTAGGCCCAGCCTGTGACTGCACCAGTGGTAACAGTCATTGGAATGAATGACTTCAAAAGAACACCGACCAGTGAACAAAGCCAACGATGCTGTAAACCAGTCACCAAGCACTAAGTGGTGTATGGTTTTCCTGAAATACCAACCCTAAATACCAAATTAGTGGTTGAGTGGGTACGTTTATTGTCAACTTTTCTGAATGGAAAAATGGGACTATTGATGTCTTAAAGCCAATTACAAACAGCTATTGTACAGTGGGGTAGAGTTGACCCAAAAGTCAACAGTAACTACAGTACAGTATCAAATTAGTGGTTGTGTGGTTATTGTCCTTCAAATGGAAATCAAGTCTTTTGTGGTTTGAAATACATGTAGCCCTGTTTTTACCTTCGGTTCAAAGGCACATTTACTCTGCTAAACAGAAACTAGGCTAAATCTTTCCAATCTACCAGTAAGGTTTGAGGCCTTCGTAGGGTATACATATGCAGACTTGGGTAAGGATACAGGATGTCAGTCACTCTTGCTATGTATGAGACTTCTGTTGGCCTGTGGAGTTCAATGTACAAAAATTTGTGCCATATTATTTTGTCGATTGCCAGAGTGTAGAAGATTGAGAGAGATGCCTTGCAAAAAGCACCGATATTTCTGTCAAGGTACATGTACATGTAGTTAGGATTAAGCCAGGTACCAGTCCTATGTGCAAAAAAACCAACAAAATAGAGGATGCTACATGTAGGCCTACAGTACATCATGCCAGTATACATGTACTTGGGAAACAGATGATGTGCTTTACAAATGTTTGCTTGATGGTACATCTTCTTGTGCACAGCCAAGCATTGAAAGCAGCCAACGTCAACTTACGTGTACATTAACTTGCCTCGTTGTGACCATCATGCTACACTAAAACTACATGTACCAGTATGTCTTTATTTTGTAATTGCTTATGTTGTTGTTTCCAGTGATAAACATACAGTTGGCTTGCTTTTTGCACAATTTGCAATTAGCCCCGCATGACCAGAATGTCATTTTTAATAAACTTGGTACAGGATCAATATCGATAGGTTGAATATTAAATTCAGCCAGTGCACACAATGATGATACATACATGGCTACACCATTTGAATACTGCTGCCATGGTACAGATACAATGGTCTTGTAAACAGAAAGATCTATTCAGATTGGGGATTAGGCAACTTGCGGTCAGTTGCCAGTGCATCTTTAGGCTCGCTCCAGTAGGCCCTTGGCTCTGCAGTGAAGCTTGACAACCGCTTGTGATGTGTGTGGAACAGTGAGCTGGAAAGTGCAAGCACCTGTACCGTACCTGGGTAAAAAAAAAGGAAAAAAAAAAAAAGAAGTCTCCCACGTGGATGGATACAGTAGAATGCATGAAGGCACACAGTGAAATTGTAGAAAGGTTTCTGTCAGGTCAGAGAAAAAGTACTTGTGCATGCCCAGAAAAAAATTGACATACCAGTACATGTTCATTGTATTTCACAATAAGGTTACTATTTCTGATATACACGTACCTGGTACATGTATACGTGATGTGTAGTGGTCACAGTGATACAGGCCATAACACTTGGACCTACGTTTTTATAGGCACATGCCGGTAGGCCAGCTGTTTTGCCCAGCAAATGTACACGTTAATACCACCGGAAAAAAGTCATAGAATGTCTCATCTAGAGATTACATGTGTAATTATGTACGTGTGCACACAGGCATCAATCAGTGGGGGACGGGGGATGCATCCCCCCAACTTTTCTAAATGGGGTATACTAAATCAATTGGTCCCCCTCCAAAACCTAAATGAAAATGTGCACCTTACAAAAGTATTTGTTAAAAAAAACTGGCTAAAGTAGCCAGAAATTGTCTCAGATCACACCATAGAGCATCTATGCTCCAAAATTTTCCGGTCCCGGACCCCACGCCACTCATCAGGGCTTCACACTTCGTGCTTTGCCCCCCCACTTTTCAATACGGATTGACGCCAGTGTGTGTATATGGAAGGTTGATTTTTTCTATTAATTTTTCTGCACTGTTTTGTACAGGCCCCGCATCGCAAAGGTCCACTTCAAAGACACAGAGTTCAGTCTGGTTGTGCTGGACAAAGATGTAAGTACTCATAGTTCAGGAGCTTGTTGCCACCACCCACCACTAGCCAATCAGGCAATTCCTTCACAGCTGCCAACAGGACATTTGACAGTTGTCTTAAAGACTGTTCTATAAGTGTCTGCCTTCCCTCCCCCCAGTTCCAACCAGAGCACTTTATATTTGTCTAATCTTTGTGTGCAGGAAAGGGTTCTTTTTCAGCCTAATGATGTTGAAGTGATTATTCTTTAATTAATCAAGAAATGAGTACTTTGGTATCAAATGACATCATTTGCTAGAGATTGCCATGTGCATCAGCATTTTGGACAGTGCTGTCCTGTATTTGAGTCCATCACAAGTTTCAATTCCCTGTAAGTCCATCACGAGTCCATCACAAGTCATTCAGTCTCAAGCAATTTACAAGATATTCAAATAATGTGTGAAAAAAGCATTCTTCTGTCTTGACTGGTCTTGTGAAGGGACTTGTGACTGGCCTTGTGAAAGGACTTGTGAAGGACTCGAATGCAACACTGGTTTTAGATTTCGTGACGCACATTGGCTGCACCGAATTTCCACAATATTTGATTCACACGTGTGCATGTCTAAAACGGTTTACAGTCACTTCACCCCATTTCCACGTCACCCCTAACCACTTCACCCCTAATCACTTTGCCCCATCGCCCCATCTCCACTTTGCCTCACCCCCATTTCGTCCCATTTCCACTTCGCCCCATTTCCACATTGCCGTTTGTGCTTGAAAGTGTGCTACAAGCCTCTTCAAAAAATGGTCGAGAGAGGAGTTCCACAAACGACATGTAGTTATTATAGAAAACTCTGTGGCATTAAATTAATAACGATTGCATTGTCCATTATGGTGAATTAATACATATGGTTTGACTAGCATCGGGGTTATTTCTCATTCTCTTCAAGTTTATTTCAAAGCAACACACACAATTCTGTTCACATCATTCTGGTAATTGTTGATGCATCCAGACAGTTGTACCCGGGCGATCGGATAAAGCTCGGCAGGAAATATTGTGGAAATATGTTCGCTTCAAGTACGAGCAAAACAACCTAAAATTGAACTGATGAATACAGAAAATACACATATAGACAAAATTCTAAGAATTAATGTGAAGAAATCTTGCAACATCAATTTTTTTTCAGTGCGTAACTGATCACGTACATGAATGGTCGCCGCGGCATGAATAGACTGGTCACCACACTCCATCACCCATTCTCTTACATGGGTGTGGTGTGGCGAGAACCAGCACTTTGCACTCGTGTTTTTACTACAGCGACAAGGAAACACGAAGAAAAACTTTTCTAACTTGCTAATAACGATTTCAAGGTCTCACTAAAAAATTTGAGTCCGGCGGTCGGGATATCGGTCGCATTGTTTAGGCCTTTGAAAGTTGGATTACCCGATCAGTATTTGGTTACTCAAACATCAGCGTTTTTACTTGTTGCATCTAGGCCTATGCCTCTGTTACTGAAGAACAGAATGAACGATAATCAATGGGGTGAAGTGGAAATGGAGTGAAGTGGGGATGGGGCAAAGTGATCAACACCCTCTAAAACTGCACACATACGAACCTGATGGCATTGAATTGTCAGTTTCCTATCAAGACATTGTTCTATGAGAGGGGTTCTTGCATGTACATGTACGAACATACTAGTACATACATGTACATGTGGCTCTGTGGGAATACATTCAGCTCTTCCACATGAACATGCATGATGATGGGCTACATCATAGCTCGTTATGTTATGACAGTTACGTTTGGTATTTCTTTGAATACCCAAATCTACAGTGAATTCTAAAGACAAAATGATCCATGTACATTGCATTGTACAACACATGCACATTGCCACATTGGTTCCAGTATATCAGAGTTGACAGGGTGAGACTTACACCAGCCTCATGCAGGCTGCAGCAGAGAGGGTGAATTTATTGCAGGTGTCAGGCCAGACTGGCATGTAAGTGTGTATTTACGAGGCCCCTTTGAGACACTCAGGGGATTTTATGAGCGTGTGCTACCTCCAAATTGGCCCATAAAGTTTGATTTTGAGCAGGGACAAGTACATTTTGTGGGAGCGAAATCACAATGCCTCAAAAGGAGGCTTGTTTTTGAGCTACTGGTATGGCTCCTGTTTGAGAAAAGAGTGATTATTTTTGTCAACTGGCTCCCTGCTGGAAGCTGGAATTTGCCCCGAAATTTCTTCTCACCTTTTTTTTTTACGCTGAAAGGTTTGATTGAAATGCGGCTAGAGCGTGAAGAAGTCCTTTAGCTAAAATGTACAATATCTGGCTGCAGATAGAGTATATGTACATGTCCACATAGATGTACCAGTATGTACATGTATATGTACATCTGAGAAGTGTCCGTCCATGGCAAGCAAAGTGCTTTTTAACTTTTGTCCGTACTTAACATTAATGCATGTGGGTGACTGAATCACTCTTTCCTTGATAAGTCAGTGAAAAAAAATGAGAATGAGATGCCCAGCTTTGAATGGTGGACATGAACAAAGTGTGGAATATGTGCAGTAACCCCACGGATGTTGATCTCTTTTGTGAGTTGGGTGGTTCTGAGAAGGACCAGTTGTTTCAACTTGACATCTCAAACGGTGTGCTTTGTTCGTCAGCATCAGGGCACCCAGCACTTCTTAATATTTCCAAGAATTGATGTCAGTTTGGATGCAGCAATAGCTTACAAATACGCATGCAGTCTTGCTCATACTGACAAATTGTATGACAATGGTATTGGGAAAAAGAGATGATGTTAGTTACCAGACTGTGCATGTAGGTAGTACNTTTTAATGCTAATGAGCTGGTCAGAAATTCTCACTTGAATTAGTGGTCTGCACCCTGCGTAGTTGTACCCAGTATGTGAAAATCTACATGTATGTGCTGAATGCCTGTCAGCCCAGTGTAGGCTACATGTACATGTACTAGTACACATGCCTTAAAGCTGAGCCTTGGAAGTGTTATTTATGACTCAGGCTTAAGTGGATCAGGGTAGTTTTTACCACAGTAGGCTCAGTAGACTTGTGCAATAATTCTGGGCTGTAGTTGCTGTGTTCAGAGTAATTCTAATCACAGATATGCCATTAATCATGAAAACATCAAGGAGATCTGTAACATTTTGCATTTGTATGAGCTTTCAGAAATTGGGACTTCTGAATTTTTTGGTGACCATGGGGCACATCATATAACTTTTTGAGGGGTTTTCTTATGGCAGGGGGTGGAAGATGAGTGCATCTTTCGCCTGGCCAGCAGGTCAGCCTGTAAGCATCTCTGGAAGTGCTGTGTGGAGCAGCATGCCTTCTTCCGCCTCCCCAAGGCAGGGGAGGAGTCCCCTCACCAGCGCAAGTTATCCTTCACAAAGTCAAGTTTCCGACACATGTGAGTATGCATTTACATTGGACACACCTGCTGTGCTTGTCAGCAAAGCCTTTTCATATTTTGTGTGCACTATTCAACCCTTAAGCAAGTGTTATCAAGAGCAATGGATACCCTTTGCCCCCATCATTGATTTAGAATGTTACACATACATGTACATTGTATATGTACATGTTTTAAATGTTCAAGGCATAGGAAAACAGTGGTTTTTGGCAGACTCACATGTAATAAAATCAAACTAGATGATGTTAGTGGGAGTAAACCATTGTACTTCTCTGAACTAGCAGGCTGAGGATAAACTTTCTCACTGGTAGTCAGTAGTCACTGTACATAGCAAGCTACAGCGGGGAGCAGCGACCGTGGCACTCATTGAAATTTCAGTACAGTAGCTGTATATGTACACAAATCAACCTCTAGCAGCCAAATACGTCATTAGAGTTACTGCTTTTTTGAGGCACTCTCTGAGCCTTTGTGATGGGCATACTTAACCAACTCATAGTAGATCATTCTGCTTGTAATTTTCTGTTCTCGTCACTCTGTCATTTATGAGGTTTCATCAGTCTTCCCTTCCTCCTCCATCACTTTCATGATCAGTGGCAGGACTCAACGGGAGGCATTAGAAGCAGCCTCGACGCTGAACCGACCGGAGCAGCAGGTCATCCGAGCGCCGAGCCGCAAGTACCACCGACGGCCGTCCCAGACAGATATCTCACTGAAGAATGGTATGGCGTCAGATGACATGTGCTTGGACAGCAGTCCATCGAGCCCCAATGGAGTGATACTGAGACTGTCCCCACAGCCCGCCTGTCGGTAAGTGTAGAGGCCTTGTGATGTTGGTCTGCTCTCTAGGACAGTACAGATAAAGTGGAACTAGGGCCGCATCCGAAACAAGCTTCCAGAGCTACAGCCAGGTCTAGTGTCTGCGTGTCTCTGCATATTTCCAATGGAGTGAAGACCAAGACCTACCGGTAGCTCCAGACAATGGATTCGGATGAAACCTAAGTGTCAGTGTTGTGGTCAAGTCCCAGAAAGTCCATCACAAATCACACAGTCTCTACCCTAAAAAGGATGGGGGGGATTGGCCTCAGTTTTTTCTGCTAGGGAAAAATATCAAATTAAACAAGAAACAACTTGCAATCTTACCATGAAGTATCCCTCTTGACCCTGTTAAAATTTTGTCAAACCTCAAGGTAGGCTTTGAGTGACCACCTGTTAAGTTTTTCCTTCTCCCCTTACCATTGCCAGTAGTAATTCAACATTTTACTGTAGCCTGCAGTGGAAACCTTATTTACATTACACTGCAAATCTTGTCTTGAAACTCATACAAAAGATGAATACATGTTCAGAGTTCCACCCTTTTTCAATTGTGTTAAACGTAACTGAATGAATTAAAGAGCAGCAGGGGAACATTGACAATTTGTCATACATTTTGTATCCCAATATGTCATATTTTCAAAGCCTGCGGTTTGCAATAACAATTTTAACTTTCTCACTCGTTGCATACTGCAAAAAGTGCTGGTTCAGAATTGGTTGTATGAAATGCACTACTGAAATCACGTACCAATGGCTTGCCATCCCCAATAGTAAGTTGCTCAAAGTTCGAACCCTCTGACCCAAGACCTTCTTTTATGGTTCTGCCTTTTCACTAGATTACCCTCACACCATGGACTCAGTGGCAGGGAGAGCCCGACATCTGGTGTGAGCACCCGATCTGTTCCCTGGGAAGATTGCCAGCAGGCGAGAGTGTAAGTGGTTGGTCTCATAGAAATATACTTACTGAGTCTTCCACATGAAAATAATTCTTACGACATTGGGATACATAAAGACAGACTTTCAATGGCAACATTGATTTGTTTTCTTACCTTAAACAAGAAGAAAAGTAACTAAATAGTTTCACCATCCATTTTCCCCAGGTAGAAATTAATACAGGGGAGTGTAAAAATATCAACGTTCATTCAGTACCTAATGCATTTTTCCTGTTTTCTCGGAGTCATCGAGTTTGAGCCCTGACATCATTTTGTTTTGTCCTGCTCAGTGGTCTGTTCACACCAGCCGGAGGCTCACCTGTCTCCGTTCGCAGCTCTGCTTCCCGCCAGCATCGACACCGGGGGCGTTCTAAGTCTCCTGGCCCCCATCATCGTCATGGAGACAGATCCGACTGCGAATCGGAGGCAGCCTACGGCTCCAGAAGGAGGTAACTTGATTCCGACCATTTTGAAAAATCTGTCCTGGCCCAGCATGGCTCAGTGGTGTAGTGCTTGTCTCCAGAGCTCAAAACAAGTTGGAGTACATCTCTGTTGACAAATGTAATATGTAAAGTGAAGCTGCAATGAATTTTTCTTAGACATCATTTTTCTTCAACCTTGTATTCTTCTTCAGTGTATGAAAACTCTTTGGTTAAATGCGTTCTTTAAAATAATGAAAATTATACATGCTTTCCTGGATGACTGAGGGCACTGGTGCTGCGAAGTCATCTAGGGAAGACATGGTTCAGTGCTAAGGTGGTTCTGTTAATGTGAACACAGAATTTGAAAACATACATGTATCCGAGAGAGAGATTGATGCTTTCTTATTGTTATGCACATAAACATCAGTGAATCAGTGAGGAAATGAAAACCGATATATGCAGGACTTTTTTGTTCACAAACTAATGGAACATTGAGGTTTCTTCCTGAGATGACATCACAGTTTTGCTCATGAATATGGAAATACTCATAAGAATAGAAACCAAAAAGGCGGTAAAATACCCTTTGAAATAGTGAAATAAAAGTTGAAATAAGGCTGAGACACAACCCGGTGCATTTTGGAGATTTTGAGTGCTGCTACCCTTTAAGCAAGATGCAGTGCTGTCTGAAGCTTATGAGAAACGTTCACTGGTTTGCATTGGTCAGATCTGAACCCATGACCATTAGCGAGTGCTAGCAATCTCAACCACTTGCCATGCTTGCTGCCGGGTGCTTTGAAAATGCAGTGTACTCATATGGGTCATTTTCAAGATTTTCAGTTTTCAAAATCTTCAAAAATTCATCACTTCATTTAATGGACGTTTACACCCACACCAATGACTGCTTGGTGTCTCCTTTAAGCGGACAGGTACCTTCATGGACTCCTGAATATTTCAGTTAGGCCTACAGCCTTGTAAAAAGAGCCCAGATTCTGCTGTATTATATAACTTTCTTTTGTTCCCGAACCTGGCACAGTGCACTACTGACCTCTTTTCAATGGGGGTCAGATTAGCGTGCAGCAGGGCTGTGTGGCTCATAGCTGCGGTGTTGGAGCGCTTTTGTCCCCAGTGGTAATCGGCTAGCTCTAAATGCCCCAAACCTTGGTATATTGTTTTAAAACAAGGCTGGATTATCTCCTCTATTTAGAGTGAAAAAATGTCGGTAATGCCCAGCAGCTCAGTCTTTTGTGCTGAGCACGGTCTTTTGTTACAAGGGCCAGGTCTTTTGTCCCAGTTTAGGGCTCCCCGGCTCTGCGTATAAGGCCTATGTGCTCAAAAATGGGTCCCCCGTCAGCAAGTGGTTAATCATTCTAGTAACGAGTTTACAAGAAGGTGTTGTGCTCAGATCCCTCTGTGTTGACACTGAGTGTTCAAGTCCAAATAATTTATACAGGGGTTGTGAAAAATTTTATTGAATTTTGAGGATTCAGAACTTTCATTACTTCATTACTTCTGATTTGTCACACCAATTTTGCAGTTTTCGAGATATCTATCCTCAGCTCACTTTTGGTTTACTGTACAAAATTTGGACATCTTCAGAAAGAGAGTAGTGATTTCAAAGTTTCAAATACTGTAGATGAATCCGATTGCACACCATCACTACGGTATCACTACATTGTGGTAAGCTTGTATTCTTTACCTTAATGCATGCCCAAGTTGTCAAGTCTCAGCACTTCATTGTTTGATGAGGTATTTAAAGACATGTTAACCAGCTGTGCGTGAGCAGGGGGTAGACCTTAAACTTGCACTGTTGTCCTGTGGTCTTTTCACAGAAGCAGAAGATCAGCAGGATTGGATGCAGGCAGTGATCATGAGTCTCGTCATCATCACCAGCACAGAAAGAGGAGGTAGGGATATTGTTAGTCTTGCTCTCAGTGCACTGAGGACATCATTTACGATTAGGCTGCAAGTGGCATTAAAAGTGCCTTTGGGCTAATAGCCCTCCTCCACCTTGCAATAAAATTGAGGATTGTTTGCTCATTGTTACAGATCTCGGTCTCGAGGAGTGAGTAGTGGGAGTGAGTCAGAGTATAGCAGACAGGATGAAGGCAGAAGACATCAGAGAAGGTACATAGCTGTGATTTGGTTCAAAGTGATTACTCTTTTTTGATTTGATTTGGTGCTGTTGAATTCGATTGATTGAATGTCATCTTTGGATTTGCAAAACAGAATGTTTTGATAGCCTTTATTATAAGATGTATTTTTTGATGTCAAGGAGATATTAATTAACCGGTCAATACTAAATGTTGGCTAACTGTTCCAGCTCCAGTGCATGTATATTGGGGCTATCTCTTAGGTACATGTAATGTCAAGTTTTAATGTGTGATTATTTCTGTCCCTACGGACAGAACTAAAACCAGTGCTGTAACTCTGCCTGCCTAACAAGTGCCCAATGTTGAATAAAATTAATCATGAAAATGTTGGAAATTGGCTATCCTTATAGAGTGGTTGCCTTGTTGAGCCTCTGAATTGGCTTGCCATCATCAGGAAGTCAGTGTGAAAGATGATCATGAAGTGGCATCATTTATGTTTTCATTTGACAGATCCCGGGAGAGGATGGTAAGCTCTGAGGACCAGTGGCATGCTGTGGAGGAAAACAAACTGGTCCGGGGGGAGCTGAGAGAGGGCCAAGAGGTTGTCGTCAAGCGACTCAAAGATGGGTGAGGGTTGCCATGGTTACTAACCACAGACTAGTTGATTGGACAACCAAAGATTTCACTTAACTTTTGAGTCATTATCATCAGCCCTGTTTACATGTATATTCCTTTTATTTGAAGTAGAACTTTCAGTGTTCAGTAAAAGTGTATGGAATATTTTGGGGCCAAGGGGTGTGTTCACGTATGCTCATGCTCCTCACTTAGTTTGTGTGCATGCGTACTGAATATCACTATAGCCAGAAGCCAGTAAAATGGCTCTTGACTCCAAAAGTAATCGATCAACATCAAGCTCAGAAAAAAGTTGTTTGCCCCTTATTTCCCTCCCGATTAGTATTTAAACACTCAAAGTCCCTTTTGATAACTTGCACACGATGAAAATCCTTTTTCTGCCAAATTTTTGTTCGTCTTTCTTACATACCTCCAAAGTAAAAGAGTCAGAAGTTGGAAATGAAGCCAACATTTTAGAGGGGATTTTTTTTTCAGTTTTGCCGAGTTTTCCCTGACATTTCTGTAGTTGTGAATAGTGAGGAATATCATTAATGCTCCAATGAGAAAGTATCATGCAAGAAGGAAACCGTATGGATGAAAACAGAAAGTTTTTGTTTTTGCCTTTTAGTTGGGCAATTTGACATGATGGTACATATTTGTGCAATGCAATAGGCCATCTCATACCCAAACGCACTCGTATCCAGGTCCGTGTACGTACGTGTGCAACATGCCCAAAGTCCGGACATCTCATTTTTGACCGCTGGCATACTCAGTGCGGAAATTTGAATCTGCATGAAAAACGAACTGCATTTCCATTTCCCCAGAAGCTACTAAATACATGTATCACCATTTGATACACTCTTGGCAATTTATTCACACATGAGGTCTTCAAGAGAAATGGCAGTACATGTACAATCCCCCACATGGGTCACCACCGATATACGTCGTCTGCTAGAATAATTTTTTCAGGCAGACTACCATTATGGCACTATTGGGCATGCGCGAATACACAAACTAAATGCATACACAGTCTATGGTGCTGGAGTTTCATGTATTTTAGTGGCCTGACGTTTTCTCTGGTGTTTGATTGTTGTGTAAGAACATTGCAAGAAGTCAGCAAGGAACTCTTTCTCAGAAACTTTTTCAGTCAGCAAATTCTGGATTTAAAATTTAAACTGAAAAGTATGCACTGAACTCTTCCCTGAATGACATCACAGCAACAGCACCCTCAGTTGTCCAGGAACGCACAGACAGTCTTGAATGTTAAAAAAAATTTCAATTCATTTAACCCCGAAGGGATGTGACGTATTTTTCATACATGTACATCGAAGAAGAGTATATTAACAGAAAAAAGTGTGTCTGAGAAACATTCATTGCGGCTACCCTTTAAATATGGGCTCTCTGCCTAAAAGAGAAAGCAAGGGTCTTGCTGGGCTAGAGCACGGCCCACATTTTCAGGTTCTTGTGCATGCTTCAAAGAGCAGTTTGTGTTTGGGCTTTGTTATGGGTGCTAGGTACCAGGTTTAAATACATGGAGCAACTCTCCTCTTCCTGTAACATTGGAAGAGGGAATACTTCATCCAAAACTTATAGATGACTCCTCTTTTTAAGCATGTCAAGCAGGTCAAACTTCTGAGTTAATCCTCCTGAGAAGGATTATTACACTGATGGAGATATAAGTCAGGGTGATATTTCTTGATGGTTTCTGCAGCGCCTTAGCGAACAACCTTAAGCACATGGAGTTTCAAAAACATATCAAGAAGGATCTGGTGGACCAAGCGCAGTACACAGAGGAGGAGCGTAGTGGTATTCCCTACACCGATGTTGTGTAAGTATTCAAGCAACAACAGCAACAGTAGAGCTTGATGTTGCAGTACACACGGCTTGTCTGTTCTGTTCATGCATTTCAATTGTGTCACCGTGTTCTTCCACTTTTTGTCAAATTCCTGTATTTGGGACTCTGAAAATCCACTTTTGCAAATAAGTTCCGTCTTTTAAGTTTTTGGAAAGTCTCAATACGTTGATAGTCGACTTGAGCCTGTTACAAGTCCACAAATCTGTCAATCACCATCCATTCTCAAGTCAGGACACAAGCTCTTTAATTGACTGCGGCAAACAGCATGCGTTTGTCACAGTTGCTGTTGCTGCATTATTACCTGCATGTTACTGTATTATTACCACACAGAGCCTAAATCATTTCCGCACTCTATTAGACCCGTCCCTCCCAGAGTACACTAACATGCTAAGCCTTGTGCAGTTTCTTTTCACCGGTGCCATTCAAAGTTTTCTTGTTTCTTTGAACAGTCTCGACAGTGGACCAGTGAACAGCAGTAATCCTATCCGAGACTCCCATTCACGAACAAGAAGCAAGAGAAATGAGGATTTCAGTGACAGGTGGATCAAATTTGTTGTTTTTTTGGGGGGGGCAAGATAAATATCAACAAGATATTTTCATCAAACTGAACACATCCATCATCTCGAAGTTTGGGCCTTAGTACGCTTGGATTGAAAGAAAGGCTCAACTGGCATGGATTCTTACATTTAGCATATGTAGTGATTTGAAAGAATTCTTGGCATCGCAAGTGCAACCTCACTTCAGATTCACTGTGAGTGAGAGAGATTGTGTGTGAGATTCACTGTGACAGTGTTTTGCTGTTTGTAAGTACTGAGATGCCAATGTGTTCAAATGCACAAAAGTTTTCACGGGAAACTTAACTTGAATTATCATTCTGGCTTGCAGCAACATTAGTGAGCACTCAACAAGGCATCAATCTAGAAATACATCTTCAAAAAGCCATCAGCACATCAGAAAAATGAAAAAATCTCAAGCGCCCACACAACCAGATGGTACCCCGCCCCCACCCTATTCTCACAGCCACATTGGAGATCCTGTGCACACCTCAAGGGACCCTCCACTAGATAGTAGGGGTGAGAGTGGCAGTAGAGGGGTCACTGTTCAGAATGGGGATGCAGTAGATGGCAAGTACTCAGGCCACCTTACACCAGGGGGAGGGTTATTTGGTCGTCATCAGCCAGGAAGCCATCAGGTAACTCACTGATTTGTTTCATTTGATGTCTGCTTCCTTTATGACTGGGCAAAGTAGTGAAAAGAAAGTGAGGGGACACCTGTTATAAAGCCTTTATTTCAGCATGTGATGGGGATTCAAAAATTGGAAACCAAACCAAAAAACAAACATGCCAGCATTACAAATTGTCTTCAAAGGCATTTTGCTCTCGGAGGAAACATAACGGAGTACTTTCGACAGCACAGTCCATTTGGTTTTTCACGGGGAAGTGCACATCTTCATGTGATTTTGAAGTTTGGCCCTTCTGTGAATGGGGAAAAGGAGGGAAGAAATCTGATGTGTTTTTATGGCTCAGAAATGACGAAGGTGAACTCTTGATAGCACTAAGAACTAGAAGTTTAATCCAAATCCTTATTTGCCTGGAAGTTAATTGAACAGAATAACTCTTTTGGCAATTTTTCTCCATGCAAGGACCTTCCACTGACAAATGGGCACCAAGGCCACGACAGACACCCTCACAGACTCCCGCAGGCTAACGGTCTCCACTCCCAGCAAGTTTCCTCATCACCCACCCTGGGTATGGAGGGGCTCTGTGTAGCCCATAGCAGGGAGGACTCAGGACTGGGAAATGAACAGGAAGAAGGATTAACTGACAGGTTTGTCTAGGAAAGGCTTTAAAGGTGGTGTACACCATTGATTTTTTGTCGTAATATCACAAGATTGGCTGATTACGGTGTATAATACTCACTGCAACTTACATGCACATTCACTTGCTTTGTGTTTGAGTAAACTGCTTTGTGAAAAATCGAGAAAAACAGCACAGCATTTTCAATGCTTAAGTAGAAGGTCTTGTAGTTTATCTTGCGTATAATCTATAGATTATAGGGTGTTCGTAGTACAAGTGAACATCGTCCGCGGGGTCAGGGTGGGAAACAAGCATGACAGGTTCTTATTCCTTTAAGAAAGGAGCAGTTTTCAACGGTTAGAAGTAGTCAGTGAATTTACCTTGGAGTAATGCGACTTCTTGACAATGTAACATTGTGGATTCGTGGAAAAATTTCATCCAGGAACAGTCGAATCGTGTTTGTGACATTGAAAAAAAGATCTGTTTTCTCGAAAACTACAGCATTCTGGGTGGAAATATTTTACAGACTGATTGAAACTGTTATATACTTTCTTTCAAGTAAGAAATTTTAGGATTATACGGTAGTTCGATTTTTGGGATTTCATCAATGGTGTACACCACCTTTAAAGCCACTAGCTCCCATTTCGTTCATTGGGCACAAAAACTTCACAAAAAAGTGAAATTTAACAAATTTGGAACAGTAGACAAATTTAGCATGGTGTGAGGTTGAATAGTCATTATTAGCTCCCTGTGGTGTTCAAAGTTGACAAACTACATGTAGTTCACGAGACAAAACCATTAATTCACTTAACCTGTGTAAAATGACAAGCATCCAGTTCGGTATTGGTGAGCTTGGGAAAATGCTGATCGACAGTTACGTGTGCCGCTATCTTTTCATGTTTACTTAAATGTAGCTACATGTTCGCACGTGATCACTACACCCTGGCGACAGTTCCTTGATGAACTGGCACATGAGTAATCGTTTGCAAGTTCATCTGAACCTGCATTAAAGCTCACGTTCACATTTTGGCAAACAGCAAAAATAGCAGATGGCAGGTGATGGTAAATGGTCCAGTAAGAACTTGGCTCTTCAATTACGAATATGCATGAGGTACATGTATAGTCATTCCCTGTAATGAGCATACTTGTCTCATGTGAGATTTTTTTAGCCTGCCCCCTAAGAATGGTGGATGTGAACAACGTTAACACCTGGTGTCCTCCGAGGAAGTTTTTTAGAAGTGTAATTAAAGGTTTTGAGAAGTCTATTTTCCTCCAGCCTCAGTTTTCCCATTGAGATAATGTTCACCAGGTTTCCTTACCTTGGGAAATGACTCGTAAAAGTTCTAGCATTGATTACAATATGGTGTTTTTATTCATTTAAACAACAGACAAACCTTGCCAAGGCGGGATGGCCAGCCTCAGGGTGCAGTCAGGTCTCTGCGACGGGAAATGGACAGCCAGCGCTCCCGTAGTGACCCCATACCCTCTGCAGAGGTCTGTGACCTGCGGACGACCTTACAGCTTACTGTGAATGGCAGACCTGGGCCCAGACCTGACAAACAACAGGCCAGTCGATTGGGGATGCAAGGTTACCGTGTGGTCCAGTTGCATTCTGGCGGCCATGCGATCAATGATGTCACGACCAAGCAAGAAGACAGTCGTCGTGGTCCAACTACCAACGGCGGCCCCGATTACCCGACCAAACTGCGGCCGGCCCCGGCCATAGCCTATGGACAGAGCACAATTCCTGGTCTGGGCCCTGCCCCCAAACTGGCCCCCATCACAATCAACAACAACAACATCGAGGTTACCAGTGAAAAGGAAGTCAGTCACTTGTGGTCTGAGCCCATCAGGCCCAGCCATGCAGTAGTCACGTCATCACTGGTAGACGACCAAGACATGCGGGTGAACAGGGATAAGGCAGGGAACCGGGAAGACTCAATAAGTGAGCAGTTGCCAGATTTTCCTCCAGGGTATAAACCCAACTACAACCGAGGGTAGGTCAGCAAGCAGTGATAGTTTTTCCTCTATGGTTCCAGCAAATCATTTAGCATGTGCTAAATTTGTGATGTTATTATTATCTTTTACAATTGTAAGACACTTTAAATAACCTAACGGAAAACTGTTTTGTTAAACTTTGTGGGGTTTCAAGTTTTAAAAATAGTGAACAAACCTCATGTTATTGGAAAAAAGATGTGGGATTCTTAGCACGGAAAATGCTAATTATTATCAAGCATTTCTTTCCGAGTTTACTCTCTCTATGCTAATTAATGAATTCCACTATTAGAAGGATTCATTTTAACAATAGAAGTGGATCTTTGTTAGAAAACTAAAGTTAGAACACAAAATTGTCATACAGTAAAATCACTCTGTAGGTCCAACAAGTGGACCTTCCTGCTTGCTTTGCTGGAACGGCATTAAGGAAAGATACATCCACTGTTCCATTGTCTTTGTGACTGTATACTCTGCGTAAATAGCATTCAGATACATGTACATGTACATGTACGGCATGTTCCTTTTATATGTTCTTTTTTTATTGATATTTACTTGTTTCTATTCCCTGCTCCTTGATTGCTTTTGTGAGATCATTTTGTTATAGAAGTGAAAGCCTTGTGTAGAAATAAGAGGATGCTGCTCTTAGCAAACTGTAAATAGCACTTTTGTGTGTATAGATCTTGGCGGTTGTTTGAATGCACAGTAATGTAGAGAATGGGACCAGCTCTGCAAAAACGGGTAATAAGTCGTGCAGTGCCAAAACACGTAATCGCCTGTTCTATTTGGAGAGGGCAAAATTTCTTTTAAAAAAGGGATTTAATGTTTTATCCTTTAATACTTTTCATAATTTTTATGTTGTCAGAATTTGTGACTACATGTACTAACATGGATACTAATGAATAAAGATGAAAAATTGATCATTCAGTAGGAAATCCTACATCGCATTGTGTTTCCAAGCGCTACAATTCAAGAGCTTTTTCTCAAAAAGTGCTTTTATTGAATCCGAAATGTGGATATACAAATGCCCATATATCTCCAGAATGCAGCGCACTACTGGGGTCATTCATATATTAACTTGTAGCTTTTGATGTACATGTACACAGTCCAGTCATATCAAAAACTCATAACCTGAATCTGACGACTTGCATGTAGTACCCATTTTTCTAGAGCCAGTCACAAATACATTGTGCAACAGCTGAGCAGTGCTGTAGTCAAGTTTGTTACAGATCCTTAAGAAGTCTAGTCCCTGTAAATCACAAGTCAAATCACATGCCCTGTCACAAGTATACAAAACATGCGAAAAGTGACATACATGTACATACTAGTACATGGAGGAACACCTTTGTCACCATTCATTTTAGTAGCGTTTAACCTACATGTACATGCATGAATAACTGGAGATGAGATGATTTAATTGTAATGGACTTGTGAGGATTCATGATGGACTTGTGTTGGGCTTGTATTGGACTTTTGAGGACTTGAGGATTTGAGTACGAACACTGCTTAAAAAAATACCACTGCATGTACCCCATCAGTTTGGAGCACATTTTTGCTGAAGTTCTTAGGACTGGCTGATGTTCTCTCATTGAATGAGAGAATCTACAAAGTATCGATCAGTATGCTGGAGTTTGCATGTTTCACAGCTTACTGTTTTCAGCAATAAAAAGCAGTCAGAAATAATGACACTGAAAATGTGGTCCCTGCACTCCCTGTAGAAACTTTTTGTGCTTGTCATGTTCTGAAATCAGTAGTTAGAAAAAGAAATAATTAATTTAACACTGCCAGGTGTAATTGCTACACATGTGTGTGTAAGTTGCAGAAAACTATGAAAATATTTTTCCTGTGATTGATTTGCTGTTGTTTTTGCCTATTGTCTCGTCACAGTGTTTGATAACGTAGATGCCTTTGTATATTTCTAAATCCTCAGACTAATTGCGCAACTGTAGTTCATGTTTTGGTGGTAAGTTTGAATGTGGTGATGGTTTGAACTTGTGTGTGTGTGTAACTTGCCCAACACCTACATGTACACATAATCTTTCTTCATTTCTCCATACATGATCCCACATGGAAGTTTGAAAACTCAAGGTGGACCTCCCCTCATTGATCATGCTAATGCTGGGTGCGATATCAGTCTGTGCGATCGCTCGATCTCTGCGACATCTGTCAATCTCTTGCCATTGCTCACTGCAAGCTCGCCACAAGTTTGCTGCAAGCTCGCCCAAACCTACATATTTGGAACCCTGCAAAATTAATGGCAAGCCTGCAAGCTTGTAGGTAAGCTAATGGGCATGTTTGCTGCAAGCTTGCAGTCTTTTCTGTAAGGCATGTTTGAAAAAGGGAGTATATCAGATTTGTAAGTGACTTCGTGACTTCCCATTGGATGATCGCTGAAGTACTGGTAGCGCGTTAACTTCCGGTTCCATGGAAACGGCGATCAATGCATGTACAGGTAACTCTATGTGCAGTGCATGTGCATGAAGTGGGCATAGTTTAAACTGAAGTGGTGTCACTTTTGTGAACTGGATACAGTATCAAGCGAAAGCGTATCACAATCATGCAATTGTGCTGATCGACTCATCATACCGGTACATGTGTAATCATATTCTTGCTATTCTTGCAATCCACTCATTTATTACAGAGACCTACATGTACATGTAGCTGGTGGGAGCATTTTTAATTTCATCCTGTAAACTGGTGTTCATTGTAACCCATTCCAACTTGTTTCTCTACCAACCTGTGCTGTTTTTCCTTTGGTGCTTATACTGGTACATGTATGTACTTGCTTCTCCTGCATGAATGCATCTACTCTATTATTTTCTGCTGTTGTTTTGTGTTGATGTGATATGAGAAATGCAGTCAATGCTTATTCTAGAAGGTTACCCTTGCCTTCTTGGCTTGATCCAGCAAAACATGTACATGTACATATGAACGTGCCAGGAGTTGCTGCATACATGTAGAATGGGGAACTAATCATACCGGTACCTACATTGTGCATGTACATGTACTTTGTCGAAATACATGTATACAAGGTCATGTGATATGGCTTCAACTATTCTGGAAACCCATTGGCTGCCAGTTGTGCTTGATTCAACCATTCCTTGTGTGCATTTTGGCAGTCACAGTAAAGAATTAGTTTGGTTGTTTCTACCGTTATTTTGATTAATTGAGGAATTTGAGTATTATGCATGAAACTACTGTGTTGCAGTCTGGCCTCAGCCTGATTCAGACTGCCAAAGATGAGAAACTACATGTACAATGTATCAAACGATAATCTTTTTGTTATTATCACCAAAATGCAACCATTATCCTACATACTCGTACATGTATATTACATGTGGAGGCTCATGCAGCTGCCACTGTGCTTGCATGATACCAGAAGTAACAAGGCAACAGTGACACAGTTGCCCTTTGTGGACTGTCTGCATCCTGATATTTGTCCATACAAGTACTTTGTGTTTCACAGCTGTCTAGGGTCTTTTGTCAGATACATGCATATTCATCTACATGTATATGTATGCAGGTCTTACTTTCAGAATCATTTATAAAAAGACTAAACTAAAAAGACACTACATGTATTTCAAGTTCTGGCCCATGTACGTACATGTACGTGTATGTGCTTTTGTTAAGGCAAGATAAAAGCAAGTGAGAGATACAGGAGAGCTTCATCTTCATAGGGGACCCAAATACTTCTGCATGAAGCTTAATTCTGAAACTGCAAGCCAGAGGCAAAGCTGATGTTTTGTGAACCCCACTGAAAAGTTCTGCTATGGGCTTACGGTGTATGCACTTCAGAATGCAGGGTGTAATATACAGTTCTCTGTATCTATAGTTGTGGGGACTCCATTGGCCTGCTGAAACACAGAATGTTTTCAAATAATCTATTTAGCGGGCGTGTGCAAAACTTTGGGGTGGCATTTATTGGGACAAATTCTTGTCCTCACAATTTAGTCTTGCCTTGCCTATTATGAGAAATTGTCACCCTTGACTTGGTGAAGACCTACAATTTACATGTACCCAGACTAACCTACATGTACATGTATGTGTGTGGGGGAGGGGGAGGGCGGGAATGGGAGGGTACTTGCATTTTCATTCATGCCTTTTCTTCATAACAATCTTCGTATTATTTGGGAACTGAGTAGTATTAACCGACTATAGTCTCAGGGTGACACTTAAATGCCATATTTTATTGAGACACAATGGATAAGTAACGCTTGACAGTTTTTACCCTCACTGTGCTGTGCACATGAATAAGTATCAAGGTACTTTTTGTATGTCAACTGTCCCATGGGCAACCTTTTTTTTTTGGCGAAAGGGCTTCTCTTTTTCAGTCACAGAACACATATAAAAGGTAATGTACTTCACAGTGTCAGAGTGCCAGAGATCGTCCCTTCCTCAGTTTTGTTGTTTATTTGCAGGGAGAAGCGATACAGTATCACTACGCAGGAGATCATACGTGTCAGCACATTGCAAGGCGACCACCGGGACCTGCAAACGGAACTGTAAGTGTGAGCATCCACCAATCCTGCCCTGCAGATGATTTAAAGAGGACTGTCTTGTTGGGCTTGATCTGCTCAGTTAGGGAGACGTTCGGCATTGCTGTCTTTCGATGTAGCTTTCAAGACCAAAGTGCGGGAATATAAGTTGTCGTAAATATTCTATTTGCAGTTTCATACAGAGAGATCTAGAGGTACACCTTCCTTTATTTCAGTTTTATGCAAGAACCAATTGGTGCAAAGTGCAAGTTTATATTTTTATTCTGGCAGCAAACCAAAGATTGTTTCCAAATTTTCAATTTCCAGAGCTGATGCTTGTAGTTTTTGATTCAATTCTGGATTTTTTTACCAGCAATGCAGACAAACTGCAGTGCATCAAGATGTTACAGGTATTTTATTCATGCAACCAAATGAGTTCTTTTTTAATGTTAACAATGGGACATGTACTTAAGATGTTCAGTACTCATATATTTTGCCTAATTCTTTCAGTCTTCCAAAAGTACGAAGATTGGGTCTTAATTGTAGAGGACAGGAAAGATAGAACGGAAAATGAAATACTCCAATTTAGAGAGAGATTTTTCTGTCTACCATTTTGCTATTTTGGGCTGAAAATTGAAACCTTAATGAGAAGTTTGGAGATCAGCAGCAGCAACAATAAAGTTTCACACATTATCCAATTGTTCAAATGCTGTAAAAATTCCATCAGTTCTGCACTAAAAGTTCCTTACGGCAGCCACATGACTTTTGGCAAACATTCTTTGGGCCTCATTTTGAGCTTGAAAGAAATTGTAAATTGAAAAAGCACATGTGTGTATTGTATTCCACAACCAGTTTTTTGGGAGGATGTAAATTTACATTCCACCAAATGATCAAGCCCGATGTTATATTAAAGCCACTTTCTAAATAAGGACCTTGTAGTGCCATTTTCAAGTAGTACTGACAAAAAGACGAGTACTTCTCAATTTTCCAAATGCTAAAGTAAAAGCCATTGCATAACATATGCACGTATCAACTGAACACATAACAATCAGGGCTAAATTATTCTGTTCTTAAACTGACACTGTTTTGTTACATTTGTATTTGAAACACTAATTGTGAAATATTTTTGTCTATTTTTTCACAAACAGAAACTGTGCTAGAACTATATTTAAATTAAGCTAGTGTGCATGTAACTTTCAATGACTATGGATTTGTAAAAATGCGCTTTTAACCATTTGTTTTTAACAGATTAAATCATCTATTTTTTGAACTGTTTTTGCAAATTTTTCATGGTACATGTATTTGATAAAGCCCTGTCAACTTGAAATTATTTTGAAATGTTTAGAATATATGTAGGCAATGTGGCTTGACAAGAAAAAGTGGGGTGCATGCAAACAAAATGTGAAAATAATTTGTCTATTTGTTTTGCATTTTAATCAAAACCTGGCTGATATCAAGTTACCTTCCACTGGATTTTTATACAGCTGCCATGGCGTTTAACCATGATTTTTTTCTCTCTCTGTACTGTATGTCCATGTTTGTGGATTTGTTTCACAGTATGGATATTTTAGTGGTGGTTACTACATGTATGGAGTGGGCAGGGCCAAGGAGGGGAGCAGTGCAGGTGAACAGTGCTTTCATAATGTTCTGCATATTGCAAATGTGAGTGAGGGAGTAATTAATACAAGATTTGTACGGTCCTATTTAATGCATGACGGGAGTTGTTACGGTATGTCTCACAGGGGCTAGAGTTGTTTGATCGGAACTAGTCTTGATTCAAGAAGGAAGTGACGGACTACAGCCGAGGGCAGGGGTAATCAACAGCTGTACGTGCACTATGCCAGTGCATGGTTAGTTACTGTTAAGAGTGGAGTGTTTGAGTGAAGCCCTGGGGCCTGTTTCTTTGAGCAACTAAAGACAACAATGTGAACAGGATACAATCTGTTTTCAAGGAAACAGGTACATGTACACTGTACATGTAACTGGCACAAATTATGCGTGAAATACATCGTGATGATTTCCTGTTGCTTATTCTGTTATTTTTGCTAAACAAATAGACAGGCATTTACTTTCAGTTAAGCAGAAATTGAGTTATGGCGTAACCTCTGAATAGCCATCAGTAGGCCATAACTTTCACATACTGTAAACCAACATGTACTGGTATCAGTTACTGGACAAACATCTTTTTGTATTGAGAAATCTACTGCCAACCTATGTACTGCACATTTATTTCCAAACGTGCTGCAACAGCTTTCCACTTATCATAGTTCATATGACAACTGTTAACCAATTTGCATGTGGCAAGCATTCTTTACAGTTGTGCCTCGGTATGAATTAACGTGTTTCATTCAAAATGGAAGCTAACATTCCTTATAACTTCGATTTTGAACAAGCATGCGTTAAGATTTTAACCATATAAATATTTGCGTGAAACTTTTGATGTTGTGTCAGGATAGAGTGCTTTTTAATTGTATAAATTGTTTTTTTTTTACACTAATTTAATCTGGATATTTCTGTCATATATGGTACATGTAAGTGAAGGATTGAAATAAATTTCAATGATGGAGGCAAAGCATTTAACAGAGAACCTGATCTACTGGGGAAGTGGCTTTGTATACAGTAATAGTCTATGAAGAGCCAAGGAGCATTCTCAAACTGTCACAGCTCTGTGTTCCAAAGTAAAGCATTTGCAAGCCTATGCATATGCTGGGAGAGAAAGAGAGAGTAAAAGGTTTCCTCACATTTACCACTGAAAAGGAGAGCAACTAGACAGATTTGTAGGGTCCACAGTTTCTTATGAGTTTATTCAACATTCATTTCCATTGTGATTGCTGAAATTGAAAACAAATTATTTCATTGAAATTGACATATAATACTTGTACATATACCGGTACATGTAACATAAAATACTACATGTAGATTAAAAAGTTACGAAAAGTATTTTTAAGCTGCAACAAGTTCCATGCTACCGAGGAAAACTGATTCCTTTTTGTAAGTGTATCAAAACTGGAATAAACCGTCATCATGCAATACTCATCTTTACGGTTCACTCTGGGGAGAACATACATGTACAATACAATACAATACAATACAATACAATACAGGGGTGTACATTTATGAAGATACTGCCAGCATATACAGTCAACTCAACTCCATCTGGTAAGATGTGGAGCAGGTTACAGATACGACTTTATCCCATTGAGATACATGTAGGATGGCGAGTAACAATAATCCAAAATTTACATGTACAATACCAGTACATGTAAATACAAAAAAAAATGTACCTACAGTCTGACAGCGCCTTTTGGAAATTAACATTTAGGCACCAGGATTTTGATGGTGTCCATCTAAACATAAGAACCATGGGCAGTTTAACAGTGTGCATAAGTCTATGGAGCAATGTCAGGATGAGCATTACATGTACATAAAAATCTGAGATTTTAGATTGGAATCCGGCTATACTTGTACTGTGATGTGGTTACTACATGTACATGTACAGTATGCACCCATGCTACACAGTTGTGGTTTTTGTTTGAATACATACATGTATCTTGGACTGTATGTGATGTTTATTTTGAAGTACATGCACATTTACCGGTAATGATCAACTACTACAGTATTCTTCATTCAAACATACATGTACATGTGTAGCCTCAACTTAATGTTTGGTTTCAAGACTATTTGCTTACAAGGAAAAACACATGTACATACATGTATCCTCGCCAGAAATTCAATATTCCTCAATTACAAGCTGATTTGTTAAATTTTACATTACTTTTAAGTACCGTTGTAAACTTCACTTTAGTTTCTACTATACTGAATGAAAAACAACATACCCAAAAAGTCTCCCCAAAATTAGTTGATCCCAATATAAATGCAATTTCAAATTGAAAAATTCATGTAATGATGTAACAAGACACATACGTGTAATCACAAAATGTGGAACCATTATTAACATCTACATATGAGTCTTCTCGTAAATGTACAAATCTAAGAAAATAAAGTAATGCTCAGGATTACCTGTACGGTAACGATACTGTACAACGACCAAACATCAAGATCTGAATACAAAATGCAATGAGTAACTTACTGTACACTGTACATACATGTACATGCATTAAAACAATCTCCAGGATGGAGCATAGAGGTATTTTTTAACACGGTGTAGTGTCGATTAGCAATACATGTAGTTTCTCTGAGAAGTCTTTCCTGGTATGTACAGGTGTATATTACACTGTAAGTCTGTACATGCGCGTGCATCTATCCTGCTTTGTTTCGTGGTCTACCCTCTGTGATTGCAAGTCGCTAGGTCCCTGATTTTGCCATTTTTGTTAATTCTGGTTGGTTTTCTGTCTGCTATTACACACGACTGCGGCCATTATTGACAAGAAAACCAGGTGTCCAATACATAGTGGCATTTGGACCGATGTACATGTACATTCAAAGAGGCCTGTCACTCCTCTGGCATACGTGTACAACCTTTTAGCAAGGACAAATTTGGCCTGGATGAGACACCTCTGGAATGGCTGGCAACTGTACAGTTGTGTTCCCATACAGTACATGTAGCTTTCCCCAGAAGTGTTAGAAACATGTACATGTGATATGTAGTCCCCCCCCCCCGATCTCATGAGAGTCATCCCTTGTTCAAGGGGGTCTGTGGCTGTGAAACAAAATGACCCTTAGTACATGTAACTTATGCAATGATAGAATGCTTAATTGGTCAGAATGATTTCACCAAGACATTGGCATCAGATAGTGTTGTTGATTTGGTTGAAACACTGGAATTTGGAAAGTTGGCAAGTGCTGGCCAAAGTAATCTCTTCATGAACATGGTGACGACCTCTGCAAAAGGCCATTGATGGGTAGGCAGGGGTCAGCTGATGATATCAGCGGACCGTGTTTGGGCCTTGCCCATCCAAAAAGGTTTCAGACCTCAGTGGGAAATACATGGACATACAAACAAATACATGGACATACAGACATAAATGTTTTGGATGGCTATTACACAGACATTAATACAACCAGACTTCAGCCCCACTACATGAATACGTACGTGTAGGCCTCACCATTTTGCACGGTATGGCGAGTGCACGGGGACCAGGGATGGACATTTGAATCTGAATGTGTGTGTCATGTTTTACTTCACATAATCAAGCTTGCCACTGCCAAAATTCCATGCTCATATACATGTACATGTATATATATATACGTGTAGGTTACAATGGAATGATTTTTAAAGTGGGGGGGGGGGCAGTTGTTAGACCATCTGGCATCAGCCATTAAAAGCTCGATCCACTAAGCCCCACCCAATTACTGGACCTGCAAAAATGTGTGTGGGAGAGGGGCACCGGTCCCCCTGGCCCTCCCACTTCTGCTGTCAGTGGGTCACAATCTAAGGGGTTGAAATCTGGAGGTCAAAGGGCCACGTCTTCCATAATTAATCATAAAATGTGCACAAATACATTTACATGTACTGGTACATGAACTGTACATGTACATACAATCATACACTCATCAGTATGCCAGAGTCTGCAAGAACTACATGTATGGTAGATTCATGTACTGGGACATGTACATGTACAATGTAGATGTTGAATTGCTAATACAGATGTATACCAGTTCCTCCTATTCTCTGAATTCCATTCAAGTTTCCATGTCTTCTTCTCTGACACAGGGACATTAACCAAAACCACACACAAAAACATTTGAAATAAAAAAAAAGGAAAAACGTGAAAAAAACCTGTTCTGTCTTTCAAAACGGTTATCTGCTTAAAAGATCAGGCCTTGGAGGTAATTCATTCAAAATCTTGCTTCCAATATTGTAACAAAGATTATGTTTTTCCATACATGTACATGTATACATGTATCAAGTTATAAAGATCTGCTCACAGGAATCAAAACTGTTTCCTAGACTACATGTATTTCATAAGAATGCTTTGCAGGTGAACTAAAACTCATTAGTAAAAATTCCCAAAACAAGATTGACGTGATCAACACAAATACCCCATAAAGGGACCTTTCCCATAAAATACGCACAAAAAGGCAGGCGCATGTGCATTACTACCAGTACCACTGGTTGGTAAAGTTGCTTAAATCAATGACATAACAAATACACAGTACAAATCTCCATGTGCATGGAAGTATTAGCACATTTACACACGCCATTTCTGTACTAGTATACCGGTAGCTTAACTTGAGTACTAAATGTAAAGACAAGAATTGTTACTTTCAGATGTCAGGACACTGGCAACTTACTGTACATGTAATTTACATGTACACATGTACCATAGTTTCAAAAAAAGTGTGCTGAAGTATCGGAGAGATGCTGTAATAAGATTTTGATTGACCTTCAACGTGCCAGGTAATGGTTACAGCAGCTCTCTTACATGTACATTGCGGACAGTCTTAATGGCTGCGCTTGCCAACTGGTGGTAGTAGCCCATATGCACCTGTCTAATTTGCATATTTCCTGGAGAAGGTCCACACCAAACCTTAGCCCATGACAGAAACTGTCTCAATGGGGAAAATGATCTCCCTTTCTTTTTAAAATACTAATGACCTTGACTTTTGATCTCTGACCCACAGAGACCAATATCAATAGGCCTCTAGAGTATACCAGAAAAACATACTATTGGAAACAACATTGATAGATGAAGCACAGCACAGTCCATAACTGGGGCTAGTATTATGCACCGTTCCCAAAACAAACTGTGTGCACAGAATGCAAACATTTCTCCTCCCTAAAGTCATTGACCCTGCGTGATGTCCAGGTACACATGTACCTGTGCATCAAGCAATACTCTAGGGTAAAATAATGAACAATGCTTGGCCCTTCTGGGCAAGTGAAAGTGCTCCTGCAGTTTTATACATGTAGGTTGGAATAAAGTTTGGGCTGATTTCATAGAGTCCTATCACTGCTTCAACTCGTACATGTTATGTACAGAACATGTACCAGTACGTTAAAAGAAAACAGCACATTTGCAAATGTTTTATAAACTACTGTAGCTTGTTGAAATCAACTATTTTGACATTTTCGTTTCAGAGGGACTGGATGACAAATGAACCATGGATTTCACTCACACCCCTGTGGGAAGAGAGTCAAAAATTGACTTTGGTTCAGAATTTTTCTGATCTATAATATAATGTATAATTGTTACCAGAAACTTTCAACTTTAGAAAGCCAAACGCCACAAATACTGATTAACCACATCACGCTGGTTGCAGTGACATCTGTCACTAGGATCTGTCACTAGGCTGTAATACACTGTAATAGGTCAATGTGGGATGAGTGAGCTTCAAATTCTGATTGGTCAACATTTGCTTGCATAAATCCTCATCATCTGATTGGTGGATTGTTGATCAAATGTCATTAAATTATTCATTCTATTCAGTGGTACCCCTTCAATAGAATTTTGGGCCCGTTTGGTTCGTGCAGATTTGGACCCCCATCAGCGATATGATGTTGACACCAGAATCCGCCTAATGTAGATACACACATACATGTACATGTAACAGCCTTGAGATCATTGATCAAGATCCATGTGAAACAAACAGGTCCTTAATTTCACTTGACTGGTTCAACACCCATTGTATCTCATTTCCACTGAGGCGAAAATAATGTTGGGATGGAAACCCGTCTTTTTAGAACACTGCACGGAACTACATGTACGTAGCACTTTGGACACAAATCTGTTTGGCAATAAAACGGCTGTTAGATACGAGCACTTGGGACCTGTCTGTTCTTCTAATATATGTAGATGAAGATTTGTGCCGGTATTGTAAACAAATAATGTTTCTCATTCATGCAGTGGTAAGAATAATTCATTCAGGGGCAGATTAAATGTTCCATTCCACTCAGCTCCGCTTCATGGAGTCAAACATTTCATCTGTCACCTCAAGAAATTATTTCCACTGCACTCAAAAACATATTTGTGTATTACATGTACCTGTATACTGACACCAATGGTTATAGTCCAACATACATGTAGAACCTGGTGTCAATACAGGGGATTCCCCAACTTTTCACTAACCAATTACATGTTGCTTTAAAATTTAATGTTTTTGAATAACCTTATTCCCAAATTTAATTTGAAGTCCTGCTATGTGAAAAGACACGATCTTGATTCTGACTCTTCAAAAACAGATATTCAGAATTGATTAACATTTCACAAGCATATACAGTCAAACACGATTAACACGAGCACGCTTGGGATGAGATCGTGCTTAAGACGAGCATATTTCTTCAGTCCTGTTCAAAATGTACACATTACTATGATTGAAAACTTACTTAATACAAGCTATGCTAAGACGAGAACACAGACACGACAAGCACTTTTGCCTAACCAGCAGTGTCAAAAACCATTGTCCATGGCATTTTTAATACGAGTACAATTGAAAAGCATTGTCAAAAGCTTAATCCTAGTAATTCCAGTAAGTAATTCCTGATGGAACTGCATCAGAAGTTCTCCAAAAATGCTAATCCGCTCGGCAATTTTCACAACGGTTTTACCAACGGTGACTGTTCCTTGTGCTGCTAGAGGGGGCTTTATTCTAGACGATAATACATGTAGGTGTTGCGATGTCGCAGCATCAAAGGAGTTTTGATCACAGCAGTTCTGGTCCTAAAAGGTTTTTTTTTTAAGCCGAACAATTATGGGTCAACCTGATTTGAAAATAGATCCCCTCTCGCCAATTACAAACCAATGGAAATTCCCCAATTTCAACGCCCTCTTACGTCCGGTCATTATATGAACTGGTTATCAAGTTAATTAAACCTTTACTCACGTGCAATGTCGGGTACCAGTTTCTAAGGAGTGCTTTGCTGGGCCACGCCGCGTGCGCGCGGCACAGGGCGGCTGGCCACTTACAACCTGTGTTCTCTGCTGTTGCGCCAAACAAGTAGGCGTATTTGAAATCATTGTTTTATTCATTCGAATATGATTTAAAATTTATTGACAAGTTAAAGGCTGTACTTTGAATACTAATCTACTGCATATACTTTATCGCACAGTACTTGTACATGTAGGCCTGTAGTACATTGCCGTAGGTATAACAATGCCCGCTGGTGCATGACGCCAGACTTGCGCTCTATGAATGGGATAAGTGTCAACACGTAAAACACAAGTTTTACCGTAAGACAAGGTTTCTTGGAGAGTCCCTTCGAGCTTGTACATGTATTAAGCGTGTTTGACTGTACCATAGATCTACAGTGCCACATAGCTGCAAATGATTGAGAACTTCACCGTGAATAATTGTGAAACGTTGTAATCGCATGTATGCAATTTGGGCAGCAATACGCTTGCGCAATACATGTTAATGCAACAGGCGCAGGTGCTGCGACAGGCACACACACCTGGTGTGTCTGCGCCTATGCATTAACATGCACATTCGAATGGCGCCCATGGTGATTACACCATTTTGGCAGAGTTCTCCATCTTGCGCCACTATGCGCTGCTTATGAGATCTTTGGTATGTACAGCTTAGTTTCAGGTTTGTGCAAACCATGCAAAGCTTGTTTGTCATACAATCCCACAATGCAATGTGAATCTCAAAAAGGTTGTTTTACACAAAATGTTTGCATTCTAATCCCACTAAAACTCTAAAACCTGTTGAAATTTTTTTGTTTTTGTTCATTTAATCACTGCTAGCAGAGCGTTTTGAGCGAATGAATGCCATACCATGGTTTCGCATATGGGTACGCAGGTTACCTTCATTCTGAAATGTCTTGTAGCAAACCTGGCATTCCAGCACAGTAGATTTGTCCGCAACCCCAGCTGATGATGTTGGGGGAGAGACTTGTTCGGAAATCTCCTGAGCTGGGTTGGGACTTGGGTTGGTTTCCTCTGGTGGAGGGGATGGGCTTACTCCTCTGAGCATCCTTATGTAGACATCAAACTCCCTGATGCCATGCTGGATGAAGAGATGCCTCTTGAGAGCTAGCTCAATGCGGAAGCACGCCCCACACTCCTCACACTGGGGGAGTGACGGATCCTGACAGTGACTCTGTATGTGGGCTTTGAAGTCTGCCCGGTCTTTGGACTGGTAGAGGCACTGGGTTTTGGCGCAAGTGAATTCGCTCGGGAGGACGAACTTAGGCTTCTTGGCCGCTGGAGTTCCATCCCGCGTCTCCTCACTATTTTTCCGCTTCTTCGAATTCTCTGCAGTTCCTCCTGGACTTGACTTGTCATCTGACCCTTTGCTGGAGTCCTCTTTGGGTCTGATGGTCACATACTTTATACATTCATCAGGCTTCAGAGAGGACAGTTTCATTTCAGGGTGGGCCTGGCCCATGTGGGTCTTGAGATCTTCCTCTTTGAAAAAGTACATTACTTTGCCACTTTTTCTGCAGCCTGGACAACTGTGGGTTTTCTTGACGTAGAGTTTCCCAACAGGTTGCTCCTCCTTCTTTCCAGTGTCTGGCAATTTCAATGCTTTCGATGTGTCTGATGGTTTGCTTGTGATGCCTTCACCACTTTTCATGGAATCTTGACCCTTCTTGAAATTGCGGAGTTTTGCTGCTAAGCAGACTACTTGCGTCCCACTTTTTTGACCGGTCTCAAAGTGCCACGTCAGCTGTTCATAACTTGGAAAGTTGCGCCGGCACAGGTCACAGTGGAAATGCTTCAAGGTTGGATGGGACGTGACCAGGTGCTTCTTGAAATTGATCAGGTGGCTGAAGGTGGTGGAGCACTTTGGACAACAGTAGACCCAGGCCTTGCTCTTGACCATCCCCTCCTGTTGGATGTGCATCTTAATGTGCGCTATGAGTAGTGGCTTCTGCATAAAGACCGTCTCGCAGAAAGGGCACTTGGAGATGATTCGGCACAGAGGGGAGCCGGGCTGGATGTTGTGTCTGCGTTCACTGTGCTCTTTCAGAGCTGGCAGGGTCTTGAATGCCATGGAGCAGGACACGCAACGGTAGAAAAGCATCTCGTGCCCCTTGTCTAAGTGCTGGACGTAGTCGCTGACCATTCGGGAGCAAAGCTTGCACTGCACACGCATCTGGCGGTACCAGTGCATGCAGGTGTTGGATATGTGGCAGTAGAAGGCTTTCAGGTCAGAAATTGGTCTCGCGCACTCGGGGCACATCCACTTGCTGGTCACGCCGCTGTGCATGACACTGTGCATCCTCAGCTGGCATCTATTTGGCAGGGTCATCTTGCAGGCATCGCAGGTGACATCCTGGTTGGGCAGGTAGCGTTGCATGTGGGATTGCAGGGCCGACTCAGATGTGAACCTTATCAGGCATATCGGGCACGAATTTACACCTTCCGTCACGACAGGCCTTATAACGATTGTGGTACTACCGGTACTTGCTTTACTCGTTAGCTGCGTACCGGTAGATCTCAAATCTTCTGTTTCCTTGGTCGAGGAGGTCGGACTAGGGGCACTGCTTTTTGTAACATGTACCTCACTACTACTGGGGACCTTGACCACATCTGATACCACAACTTTATCCTGAGTGGAGGTCTTGGGGAATGCCAGAGAGGAAACTGTGGCATTGCTGTAGGCCTGGCTGGCAAAATTGATCTTCAGCTTCCCCTGCTTACTGTGCTGACGCAGGTGAGCATGAAAGCTACACTTGTTGTAGAAAGTCAGGCTCTGATTGTTCACGCAAAAGGGGCAGTTGAAAGCGATGTGCACACTGCGACGTTCCATGTGCAACTTCAGACTGGACTGGACCAGGAAGATGTCCCCACACTCCTCGCATGGGTATCTCATCTTACCGAGCTTGGAGTTGTTTCCACCGAGTGCTACCCTCAGTTGGTTAAAAATGGGGACAAACCTCGGGATTGGGTTCACACGCTTCAGCAGATCCGCAGAGGAGACCTGCAATATCTGGTAGCCCGTGATGGTCTTTGAAGGGTTCAGTTGTGCTTGTTTGACGCTAGAAACGTCCACAATTATTGTGGATGTTTTTCCCTTGACTGCAGGTTGAACATGGTTACCAATCACCAATGGTGGAGCATTGGTGTGCTTGTTGTTCACCAAACCCATACTTATGCATGCCGTAATGGGAGTTGTGATAACGCCACTTGCCTGAGTACTGGCTGCCACTGACATCAGCCTGGCACACCTTGACTGGGAGACTGATGCTCCTGATAGCTTGTCTGCTCTTCCTGGCTTGGGCGCGATGCTCACCAGCAAGTTTTTGCTCCCAGAAACCGAATTTGCCCAGGAGTTTGCGATGAGTGTAGACGAGACAACTTTGGCATGCTGGGCTACTGACGGTGTCCCCTGCTGCGGCTCAGCAAAACTGCTCATGCTGTCCCCGTTCATGGTAGGCTCTTTCTGCTGGGCACTGATCTCCTGAGCTGTAACAGTAGCTGGAGTTTCTAACGGCAGGTCTGCCACATGGGAAACTGGAGGTGGAAGCGTTGAGGACCCTTCCACCACTGGGTCCCTGCTCTCAGCTAAGCAGGCTCCCTTCCAAGAAGACTGGCAGTCGTCCCCCACAGACTCCGGCTCTTGTTTCACTGTGGGAGTGGAGGCTGAAGCACTGGTGGTTACCGTCTTTGGGAACATGTTGGTGGTAGAGGTCACATCGGGAGCCAAGGAGCGGACTTCACTGATCTTGACCCTCATGTCCGGGATGTCAAAAGCAGCCAGAAGATCCTGGAAATCTGTGGCAGTGTCCTCCATGCTGCCAATTCTGAAATAGATGTGAAAATTTTCATAAGAAAAAACAGTCATATTAGGCGGTGTACTGTGCTATTATCTCTGCTGGGATACAAGTATCTGTATACATGTAAAATCTTTTAAAGTGATTTTGGAAGCAGCCAATATATACCGTACATGTACATGTATGTGAAGAATGCGCTATGTAGGCTGCATGTATGACTTGAATACATGTAATATATGTACATGCAAAGGCCTACATGTACACACTACCTGGTATACAGTATCTTACATGTAAAATGTATCACACACTCATACATGTGCATGCTCAACATGCATGCTTAAGGAAAATGGCTCCTGCGCCATGGTAAAATTGCAGATCGATTGTACATGTACACGTGCATGTGCCCACATGTAGTTTCTAAACACCAACATACATGTACATGTAGTTAAATTAATGAAACAAAGCAAAATGTGTGTCAACACTTTCAATTTCAATGCATACAAGTACATGTACATTGTACCTGTTATAACATGTTTGATGCATTCATTGTCTATCCAGGAAGCTACAGATACCATAATTCACATAAAACAGACTTTTAACCCTTGGTATTTTAACATCGATCGCATCCAAATGCCAACATACCGGTAACTACTAAAATCCCTTGAAAATCAAGAAAATTGGGTAGACTACACATGTAGGTACACGTATATACAAAGAAATACTGTCCATGTGCAATGTACATGTTTTGGGTGTAGTTTATATATGTATCTTATTGTTTTATTGCTTACACGTGTATGTGTTTGGTCAGTGTCAATTTACTGAATTATTAATGTACAGTGCATTTGAACATATCTTTACGAAATTTGCGCTTTATAACTAAATTAGTATTATCATTATGATTATTACATTTATAGCATTCTGAACTCTGTGTAGATGAATAAATACCTTCAACAAACTGAAACACTGTGTGCAAGCAATGCATTGATGAGAATCATGCGGGTGATAAAACAGGTCATAAAACAATTGACAGTGCCCATACTGCAAAACTGAGGTGTACATTTTATGTAGCTCTTGGTTCTAGTAAAAGTATAATTTGTTTCCCACTGACTCATTTCCAATGAGCAAGGCCATCATCATAAAAGGTCAAGCCCTGTAACTTATACGTACATGTACGTATGTAGGATATGTGTACGTTGGCAGTGCTCAACCCAGTGATTAATTTCATTATGTTAACATATGCAAGCAAGTACCGCGGGTAAGCGTGTGTAATATTTTTTTGGCATACATGAATGCACTGATTTTCAGTTAAGGGTATCAGTTGGAGAAATGACTTACCAGTACATGTACATATATACAGTATATGGCAATATGGAAATTAAGTGCTATCTTGTACCGGTAGTACTGCAGCGATGCGTGCCTGCATCCGTGCGCCACAGCACAACATACATGTACATGTACTAGATCAACCTTGCATTCTCTCAACAAGTAGTGTACAGCTACATGTACCTCCTGACCATGACCCAATGTGATGAACGCTACATGTACAGTGCATGTACCGGTTCACGTATAAGTACATGTACTTTAACCTGAACAAAGATGAAGAAATTATTACATGTATCGGTACATGTACCCGTACCAGTACCTGCACTACCGTGACTTTTGGCTATTATTACATTCAACCAGGAACATCTACCGGTATGTACCAACAAGAAGATATCAAATGGAAAACAAAATCAGTCATTACCGGTACATCGAAATACGTGTACATCAAATGGCAAAAGGAAATACATGTATGTCATCGTGCCGGCCACCAAATATATATAAAATTTACATTCGAAATGTCATTTGGCTGATTTTGACGGACAGGACAAATTTGTCATGAATGCATCTTTGCATATGAGGGTTAACCATGGAGGAATTAGGTATGGGCATATATGTATTGTAGACCAGCCAAATGGAATAATTTGTTGGGCTATCACTCAGCCTACATGTACATGTAAATCTTTCCTGCAAACAGTAACTTACAATAAACATTGTACAGTAATGTACAAGTACATATACACCTACCCACCTGGATAAGCCTCAGAAAAACTTGAGTATTAACAGACAGTAGGTGATGATAAAATCCACAAGCTACAATGTTAGTGCATAGTGTAGCCCCTATACCCTTGAAAGGTCAAAGGTTTCCTGCAGGCAATGCAACTGCATATGCAAGTCTGAGAATACTTTGCAGCATGACAGTATGCACACAAAGTAATCTGAATGGCTTCTACATGTACATGTAACAAGACAATGAAGCTAATTTGACCACAAAGAACTTGGCAGCCCACAGCCTTTGATCTGTGCTGTTATGCATGCATTCATTTGATGATTGTAGAATTCACAAAGAGAACAATGGCTGATAAGCTCCATACTCATGCCACATATGCAACAAGCACAGTACCCAGCGATATACGTGTACAGCAGACTTCCCTGAATCGGTGCAGTTTGTCTGAAATTTCCTTTGTTCATTGCACACATCAGGCTGTGCAAAAACTCAAAATCTGATTGCACTTCAACATCACTATCGCAATATTTCAACAACATGTATTTTGCAGAAACACACTTTAAATTAATAGATACTCTTAAACCAAACAGATAAAGCTGCAGGGAGCTGGTGCAAAATTTAGACAATGTTGAACCTTTAAGATACAATTGAGCGTTCACAAAAATCTTTTATTTTTCTATAAATTCCCAACGAAAGTAATCCCATTGAAAGCTTTTTGGAAGGGAGAAATTTTTAGTACCATCAGTCTCAAGCACTAGTAGCCCTCACTGATACTATCAATCTAAAAGTGTATGTTTCAGGTGCAATGGCACTATAGTGTCATGCATGGGGAGGCGTGTTTGCGAGACTATGACCAGATTCACCACATGTGAACATGTTTCTGCCTCAGCTTTACGAGCAAATTTATGTAAAGGAAAGACAGAGTCAAGGGGGGATCCAGAACCAAATTTCCGATGCAGGAGGGCAAAATATACAACTAATACCCAAGCTGAAAGCAAAGTCATTAGTTGTCCATTCTCCTAAGCCGGTCTTAATTGAACACTATAGACCAGCCAACAGTATAGGCCCACATCAAAATCTCAGGGAAGTCCCTTTATTCGGAGACAAAATTAGTCCTCCAAAAGAGAGAATGTCCCTCTAAATGGGGACATTTTTTTTTTCAAGTGGACTTGGTGACCGTACCTTTGCTATCTTTTTAGTACCACTGGATTCAGCAGAAAAAACACCCACGGCTGCCATTTACAAAAACTTTCTACAGTTCGCTTCTAGGATTACAAGCAGGAGTCTGCAATGGGGCATGAAGGATATACTGTATATAGGAAAAAGACTGTATCAGAACAATCTTTAAAATATTAATTCTTTACCTACATGTACATGTAATTAAGTCACATGGCACAAAGTTCATAACAACATAAATAACTTACCTGCATGCGAATGGATAACATGGGGAAAAAACTGATAGTACATGTACATGTAGCATGTGGATATTTTTTACCCAAGCCCACTTAGGGAGAAATGTCCCCTTTTCAGGAGACATTCTCTCTTTCAGGGAACTGGTTTTGTCTCCAAATAAAGGGACTTCTCTGAATTTAGGGACAGTGCTGTACATGTATCTCTTGAGTTGTGCATAAGTGTCTCTATGGCCAAACACATGTATTTATTCCATTTACATACGTACATGTACGAGTACCTTTTGAGTCAGAAAAGCAAAATAAATTTAAACTTTACAAATGTTCAATGATTTTGAGGAACTATTTTACTTTATTAAAAAAAAAAACCCTCCCTATTATACATGTACCTGTACATGAAGCCTTGCTACAGTATGTTTGGTCATAATACAAATGTTGAGGAAATGGGCACACGCATGTGAGGCGTACTGTGTGAGGTGCCACGTCAACTGGTTCCTTTTCAACTGTTTAAGATGTGCATGTGCTGGTCTCTCACCAATCGCAATGGCTAAATTGTCTTACCGTATTTACGAATATTCCTAAATTGACTCCCCGGAAATTCTGGTAAATATTTAGATCAATTCTAACTTTGTATTCCCTTAAAGATGGACATTTTTTCCTTTAATTAATATAATGACCATGACACGTCACCATCATGATTACACATGCACATGATAATGCATAAAAACCACACTTTGTATACATCATCATATGTCATGTATATACATGTACACGAACCTGGATTCTGAAATATTTAAGCAAAACTTTAACTTCAAGGCATTTCACATGTACTAGATACCGGTATGTACATTCATAAACATCCCAAAGATATGTCTATACATGTAATTACAAATGTATGCATATGTGGCTGGGCAGGCATTAATTTCCTGTATTGGACTTGGCAAATTCTCTAATCCCACGTTTTCAGTCCCAAACATGCCAAAATCTAGGTGAAATAAAGTACACCATATCCTCAAAAATACATATAGTACAAAAACATGTACTTGGGGTGTGCATTGTTTACAGTGTAAATTACATAAATGTGCACACTACTAAAGACTCCCACGGCACAATCCCTAGACCTAGCCACGGCAATGCACAAAGTTCGTCAAACAATCATGATTGTCTTGATCATGGTATATGTGTACTGTAAGCTACATTTTTATTTAACATGTTAAACACCGGAAATTCAATAATACACTTTTAGTGCATGCATACCTCACCTGTTCTATTTACACAACTAATACAATGAAGACTTTGATTCAAATTACAGAAAAGCACGTTATTTCTGCGATGAAAATGAGCTGGATCATCAAATTTGGCGAAGCCAGCATAACCGTACCATGCATGCCATACGCAGCATTTCAGCTGCACACATTTCACGTGACACCCATAATGCACTCGGATACCCATAATGCCTCACGCTGTGGCAGACGGCATAACCCAGCTGAGTTTTTCGTCTGCATTTCTGTGAAGTCTAACTGAAAATTATGTGCACAATTTCACATTCCTTTCAGTACAAAATCAGAAAAAGAGAAGAATGGTTACACGTGAAAGTATTCTCCGCTCATCTTTAGGGGCAGTTCGCCGAGCTTTTTTGTCGTGCAACATTGTTGTTTGTGTTGTGTGTTTCTTTGCGTTTTCGAGCTCCAAGAACGTTGACTGTGTTGACGAACCACCAGCCATGCCAGCGGGCCACTTGAAACCGCTCGGGTGGCACCGGGTAGCTGAGGCCGGTGTAGACACCGTACAGTTTGTGCCAGAGCCAGGTGTTTTCTTCGAAGACTATGTGCGGAAAGGGCGACCTTTGTTGATGAAAGGGGCTGCAAGAAGTATGAAAGCTTTCAAACTTTGGAATGATGAATATATGAGGTAGGCTATAGAGTCCAGTCTAGGACCCCTAGGCCTTCGGTACTAAGCATATACGTGTACGTGTATGATGTAGTATACATGTACATGTATATGTGTGTACACATACATGTACATGTATGTACATGTACCTAATCAGTGACTTGTTGAACTTGTAATGTAGGGGCGCATAATTAAGTCTAACCTTGTAATTCAAAAATTTATTTGAGCCAGACTAACAACGTAACAAGTATTATTAGTCCACATACATGACATATACGTAACATGACTTGTGACTGTTCCGTATCAGTTATCACATTAGACTTATCTTCATTTAGGCCTATTCCACATTGTTAACTGCTGGTGGCAGTGCTAAGCCAGATTTTGTTATTTTGTTTGGGAATTAGTCTGACATTTGATTTTCCTTAGTAGCCTTTGTCCATAACTGTATGGTTTCCAGAGGCAGATCCCAATTTTCGTCACCCAAGTCTGATTGGTTTGGTAGAAAGTATATAGGTACATGTATGCATAGAAATTTCAAAATCAATGAATAACCAAACTGATATTGCCAAAAAGTGCTTGAAAAGTTATTTCCAATGATACTTTACCAAGATCATCTCCATGGGGCCAGACACATGAAAGTTATGGTACTACATGTACATATACGTTTTCATGATGTACAACATGTACCGGTACATGTACGGTACATGTATAAAATTTCTGTTCACCTGACTTAACACTGATGAAGCAATGTACTGACAGATCCAGCTGTGTGACCGAAACTACATGTACAGTACATGTACATGTATATTGTAATAATGGGCCCTGCTTAAAAGTTTGTAGTTTTCTGATTTACATGTACAGTACACATCAATTTTGGTGGCACGAGTATGAATTTTTTTCTTTAAATTGTAATATCTTACTTTTTAAAATTCTTGGAACTACTGAATAATTATACTTTGCATGCATAAATAAACAAATTCCATGTAACAATTGACTGAGGCATAAACTGCCCAATCACAATTTTGCTACCATGCAAATTAGCCCTTCAGCCAATCACGATTGAGCATTACAGTCGCGTGTGCAGTGAAGCAGGAAACAGCTTTTTTAGAATGCCGATGAAGTACTTGTGCATGTACATACATCCAAAATCATTGACTGTATATACATGTGTAGCATGTTCTTCATAGAATGGACCAAAATGCAACTTTGGCTGTCATTTTTTAAAACTTCTAAAAGAGTGACTTTGATCATGTAAAATATAAATTATATTTATACCTTCAGATTTATAAAAATGATTATATGGGGATTATTAGGCATAATATGTACTTATGGTGGAAATTTGGTTGGCTACCATTGCAAATCAAATGGAGTTAAATTCATTTAAAGTTTTACGTCAAAGTGATTACACCAGAGGACTTGATTTCAAAACTTCTTTCAACAAGAAGGAGAATTCAGTATATTTTTCGACTGATGTATTTTGAAGCACCTCAGAAATAACTTTTAAAAAATATAAGCCACGGGAAAAAAAAGCACAAAATCGACGGAAAATGATAAGAAAGGTTTGGCTCTCTTCATTCTCTTACCATTTATAATCGCACTCACTATACCAACATACATGTATTTGCCAGGTCTTGTATATTTTGACCACCAAAAATTATCTTTAAGTTTGGCTGCATCATAAAATTTATAATGAGTACAATACTGGTATGTTCGTTGCGAAAGTTATGTTTGACAGAACTTTGATCACATTCGAGAATTTTGACAGAAACTGCATAACGTTTGAGAATGCCGAAAATGCTGTCACATATACAGTAGTGCTCGAAAATTCCATGCGTGATTTTCATTTTGCCGGTTATTTTCGAGATAACCCCGCTGAAAAAAAATTAAAATTAACAACTCTGAGCATTTTCGTCATGAATCGTATTTTATGTCTCGAATGTTATTTTTTTGCGAACGTTAATCAGAATGATGGAATTTCTTTTGAGAAAAATTGTTCCGAAGAGAAAAATCACGGAGCGTCGCCATTCTGTGGAGGGGTTCATGAATATCGAATAAAAAAGAGGGCGCACTATCTGGGTTGATGTCAAAGGTCAAACAGGCCAGAATGCAGCGAAATGTTTCTCTAACGTCACCGCGAGAGATTGATGGAAGCCGCAAAATTGCCACGATCAGTATTTTGGACTGTGGGTTTCGGGAACATACATACTGGATCGGTCCAGTTGTAAAAGGGTGATGGTTTGGCAGTGCTTTTTTGCGCTCTTTTTGAAAGTTTGTTTTGTACATCAATATACATGTATGGATTTTACTTGCTTTTTTGCAGTCGATTTTTTTTACACTAATGACAGAATCGGATGACATTCGCGACTTTTGACTTTGGGACCTGATTAATTGTGAGAGGTACTTTTTAATTTCCTGGTTATGGTTTTAATACATGTATGTATAAATATTATTACCTTTCACCACATATAAATCTGTGTAAAATAACCTCGGGGATTATCACTCAGTAAATTCTGTTTGCTCTGATTTTATCAGGGAGTTCATGTCCCTCAAAATTGGCAACATTCGACTCTTAAGGTAATTAACGCCAATTAACAGTTGACATGGTCATCATTGTTCCAGACATCAGCCATGACTTGCCTCATTACATCAAACATTGGAAATTAATTCACTGCTGTTCACTTCATGAAAATTGAGCCCCCAAAGTTGAACATTATCTAATATTTCATATTTTGAGGAACCTGCCATATGTCAATCTTCTTTATACTGTATTTTATATAGACACTCTGTAAAATCCAGTTTTAAATGATAAAAATGACTAGTGCAACGGGCAGTTGACATGCGATACGGCAGGCCTAAAAAATACCTTTCCGATGTTAACTTTTAAATAATCAAATAATGATACAATCACAGTGAAAATGGATAAATTCCTTAGTTTCAGCAAAAATTACGGTGATTTTGATTACCCTAATACCAGTGCAAAAGGAGGGCTTTTGTCTGCATGGGCAACTCAGCATACACGTGTTTCTCTGAAACTTTCTTATGGTTTTTCATGATGGCTGACGTCTGCTTTACTGTACATCAAGCTATAGTTTGCATATTTGTAAAAATAGAAATTACGTCACACAAAAGTTTTTTTGGGGGATTCCCCTTGCAGCACGCACCCGGAGCACAAAACCGAAAACGAGGTTTTGTGCCTTGAAGTGGCGCAGTGATCGCCACGTACCGGTACATGTATACATGTACATGTACATGCCCATTACCTTACCTACCGGTATATGTACTTAGAAAGTGGTGAAACAAAGAGACCTGGATACTGTGGTGCTGAGGTTGGTGTAATTTTCATCAAGCTTTTTCCCTTGCCCTTTCCCTCTGTGGCCTGGGTTCAATTCCGGGCTCGGTCCTCGTGTGGATTGGGTTTGCAGTCCTTAATACCCAGAATATTCTTCTCGGGTTTTCCTCATACAATTGTACACTGTACGTGTACATCTAAACCTGGGGGGGGGCATTCCACAGTCAGTGACATTACAAGGCAGAATTTTAACTACTGGTACACTGTTTGTATTGTAGTTACAGTATGTAAATAGAAATATCTGGGGCTTGTAATAAGTACTGTACAGTAACACGTACTTGTACATGTAAATGAGTTAAGGAGAGTGAAGAAATACCGTAGGTGGGAAGTTTCTCACCCAAACTGCATACGCATTTCTCATTGAACAGCAAGTAAAATTGTGTCCGGAAACCGATGTTACGCAAAAAGGACATGGGAAAGCATCGTGTACAGTCAAATTGAAATATCCTACATGTATGTCCCTGACTTGCTAGAATGATGTTTACCGGTACATGTAACTTGACTTACATGTAATACACATACATACAGTAGGTTCTTAGGTACAGAGGTGCAAAATAATTTAAGTTAAATGTTTGCCTTGCCTTTTATGCTGTGAAAACTTTAGTGAAAATACCGGTAGTAACCAGCTGGTAACTGACGTTGCATAACTGATGTTATGCTTACATGTGCATTTGCCATAGGATTCACACATGCCAAATCATAATTGAGAATTGGTTTGTAATACATGTACATGTATCTCATGTCCCTGACTCGTTCGAATGATTTGTTTGATATGGAATCATACATGTACCTTGGTTCATGATGCACAGATGCACAAGTGAAAGGAGACATACAATAGTCAATTTTCTTTTTATTTTATGAATACTTTATTGTAAACATGACAGTAACTGATTCATTAAACTACAGAGTACATAGATATATTGATTTGTCTTAAACACAGAAACACTGCAATTTTTTAAAAGCAATGATTCTGTCCAGATTTTAAAACCTGAAGCATACCCTGTTATTAACCTACAGTATGTGTATGTTTTAGAAAACATGGTTATCATACAACAGTGTGTACATGTGTACTTGTACTGTATAACCACAAAAATGTCATTGATTACAAAACTTTGAATTAATTTAGCTTTATTATCCTGTAGTACTTAATAGGGTTTTACCATGTTTACTTGGCAGTGCATTTGACATGTACAAATGCACATGTACTCAGAGTTAACCTGAAATTAGAAGGATCTTATGAAGGTTAGAGTACCGGGGTACATGTACTGTACAGTACATGTACCAACTCTTTAGCTTTAATGAGAAGTGCTTTTGTACATAGACAACTGTTGGTAGTGGCAGTTTTCACCATTACAGCATCTCTAATCAGGAGGCAATTTTTGAAGCCATCACCATCTCTGCAGTGAACACATTCATTCAGTTTTCACTTCCTTGTGTTGCGCGTGCAGCCGCCGGAGTTCCTCTCTGTCGATGTGGTTAGAAGGTGCACTCCTGTGGAGGGACTGCGACAATAAGTTTATCGAATCCCCAGATTCGTTTGCTTGAAATATACAACCAGGTAGTTGAACACCTTGAGTCAGGACGGTGGAGGGAAAACGATGGTGGGACAACTGTTTAATATCAACCTGGCTCGTTTTATTCGGATGTACATGTATTTAAACCATCTCTTCAACAGTTCTTTAATCTTTGGTTTCTCTATTTACACGAACTTTGTTACTTCACCAAATTTCATAGCACTATCTGATTGCGACTCAAGTTCTGCTGATGCTGCTCCGGTACCATTTTCTAACTTAAAAGACTACGTCAGTAGCCAACGTTACCTACAGCAATTACTCCGGTAGACTTCTATAACTTCAACTTCTACGTCAGTAACCAGTCCTGCTGCAATTACTCTGGTAGATTTCTATACTAGCACCAGCTCCTTACTGCAATTACCAGTACCCACTTGAGTACTCCGCCAGTTTCAACTGTGCCTAGCCTGTGCAACCTCTCGGTGTCGCCGGAGTCGCGTGAGTCGCCGCTGTCGACCCTAATGTGGAGTATCACAACTTAATGCGACGACTTACTGACATACATGTGCATACATGTGCATACATCATTACTGACATACATGTGCATACATTATACTTTACCATGAATTATTTTCAAGCCAATTCATCACCATTCATATCGGGAAAGTCATTTCCTAAATATATTCCTACAGTGCAACCGGAGTCTTCTAAATACGTTATCACATTCTTAAAGTGTACTCAATCACAATGTAAGGCTTCCAGAAATCATAATGTGCAACAGATATTAATTATACAGTGACAGATTTGCTCAAACTAATCGATCATCAATCTGGAGACACTCTATATCATTAATAAGCAAGAACTACCAGACAGGAGATGTGCCTTGGAGATCCTAAATAACAAAAGACAAGAAAGTCTCTAATCCGGTACCTAACGTGGAGCATCACAACTTATTGCAGCGACTAAAGTGAGCGTGTCACGCTCGCCTTTTTATATTCTCCCGCCGCGCGTCTAAGAATTCCTTTTGGGTTCGATAGTTGTTATCACGTAGCAACCATACTGTACATGTACGGTGGCGCTCTTATTCATTGCCCGTCGTATTCTGTTGAATTGCCTAATTAGACAAAATTATCTCTTTAGAATCAACTGAAATGTAAAATTATTCCATCACATAAAGGTGAGAACAGTTAATCAGGAGAATCCATTAACCAGTGTTCGGAGTTAATTACGTGTTTTGCTAGATGACGTCACACATCCAACAGCTTCCGCGGCTATGCACATGCGTACTGTAGATACTGGCTTGTGACATATGGACTCTCTCTAGGCATACATGTATGTGTAAATCATACATAGATTATGGCTATGTACAGGGAGTCACTGATAATAATTCGCCAAGGTTTTAACAATAGAACCTGCTCGAGAACTACATGTAAATGAGACGGACTATGCTCCTGGCATCACACTTGATTCTGGCAAACAGATTATGGTACCCACAAAATGATGGTCATATACTGCAATGAAGTATCAACTTTGTAGAGCACATTTATAGCCATATCAAATTAAAGCTCACTTCCTCATCTTTCATTTTCCTTTCAAATTTCATCGGCTTAACCGACGACTTTTGAAGATATTGCTCTCCAGAGAAAATCACCCCTCAAACCAGTCATGATGAGGTCCTTCACCATGTTGAAAATTGATGCCTACACTCCATAGCGAAATAGAGCAATTTGGAGGGCCCCGTTTGGTCCAATACTTTCAGAAATACGCGCTGGCAGTCCTGCTGATACATGTAGATATGTGTATGCATCCTCCTGCTGATAGATACATGTATGCATCCTCCTCCTTAACAACCACAAAGTCAATCATGTCCATGGGCCATGAAATGCTCTGATAGCAGAGAATTTGAAGTCTACAAATTGTGATTCGGTCTGCCTAGGCAATATTGGACCTACCGGTATTTGCTGGCCTGCAATGCTCAGGTGAATGAATGGGGCCAGTTTATCATTGTTTTTGTGGTAACTGACGTTACACAGTGGTTTCTACGTGTACATTTCGATAACTGACATTACACATTTTGAAGCATCCGTTTTGGCTCAGTGATACAGTATGTTGAGTATCCCTACATGTATTTCTGGTACGGAGAGGAAGACATTTGGTCATAGATTAGAAGTCCCAAGTTACACCATACAGATCACCTTCTTTGTGGAATTAAATTTACAAACCCATGTTTTTTGTAACTGACGTTACATTCCTTATGGTAAAACAACAACATTTTTGTAAAATTCATTCATGGTACATGTAACTCCATCCATGTGAAAGATTACCTTTTAGAGCATTAACATAGTGGAGATACAGGAAGCCAGTTATACATGTGTGTACGTCAATGCATTCTTTTTTACCTTTATGTTATTAGCATATTTTGGCCGTCATTTTGAAAATGGCTACCTTGATAAGAAATTTTGTTGATTCCTAAAACTTTAACCCAAGTATTGTTTAAAAATATGCATGTAAGGTGTTCAAACCAAATATCATTCTGAAGTTTTGGCATTTCTACATGTACCGGTATGTCGTGGAATTGCCCTGTGTATGTTCGAAACTAGCGGTACATGTACAGTACATGTACTCATTGTCTCCTCTCTGCACATTACTTCCGGCGTGGGAGCTTAATAGTGCCTAGGGTGCTCTTGAAACATCCTTAATATCAGTATGTTTACTGCACAGATACATGTACGTGTACCTGTACATGTACTTGTAAATCCAGCGTTCATGGTGTTGTGACAAAAGCATACATGTATGGTACCTGTGTGTTTCCACTTAGAGCTGCGTTTGGTGATGTAGAAGTGGAGGTGGAAGAAGGAAAGAAGGAGAATCGTTCAAGGGGTCTGTGGGCAATGAGACTTGATGAATTCCTCGATGAATACCAGCTGGGGGACATGTACATGGTGGCCAGTGTGCCAAGGGAGATGGCGGGTATGTATAACATGTTGCTAGTACACCAGTTCAGCAATGTACATGGCATGTACCAGTACATTTACAGTGGGAATTGACTACGTTAGATACTACCCCGTGAAACCTGGTCTGCCATTTTTCTCAAGACTCTTAGAGGGTTCATGCTTGGACTCTGTTTCTGCATCAATTGAAAAAGGAAATGCCAAACACAATGATAAAATTGGAAAATGAATAGCACAAATGGGTCGGATTCGAACCAGGGACTATGGATCTGTAGTTCAAATCACTACCAACTAAGCTATCGAAGTGACGTAATGGATTCCGTTTTTGAAATGTCTTAAATGGTGTATTGAATTGTCCCCTCTTCATGAATCATTGGTCACCCCAGCTACTGAAAAAAAGTAGCACACCAGGTTTCACGGGCTAGTATTAAGTCGCTTCCTTTACAGTGTGCATGTACATGTACACAATGTACCGTACCTGCCGACTGTTCAGAGTTACATGTAATCATCTATTTCGATTTTCAAGTTTTCAGTGGCCAAAAAGACTGTTCAGATTTTTCAATTTTTTTCGAAGAAAAATGAAAAACAAAATATCTGAGAAATGTTTTGCAAATTACATGTTCATGTACAGTACCCCGTACTACTGGGGATACATGTATGTGTTTGTCTCAAATGCCGTTTAATAGCACTGCACACTTGGAAGGGTTGACCTCCTCCATTACTTCCAGGACTGTGAGGTTTTGAGCATTCATAACTGAAATTTTATTACAAATATGTGCAATACAAAACTGCTGCAAACTGCTTGCTGACTACATTGACCTAAAATACAAATCTCAAAATACGGAGGGCCTGATGTTTCGATCCTAGCAGAATCTTTCTCAAAGGCAAATTTCATTGTCTCAATCATACAGTTTTCTCTGCTGTCATGTACATGTGTGCTCTAAGATTTCACAAGCCCTTTCAGGATGTGGTTTGATGCCGTGTGGGGATTCATTTACCTCATACGTATACATGTACCATATCAAAATAAAATGATTTGTGACATTTAATAGATTTTTACTTGCCCACACCTGCACGCAAGACTCGCAACTAATGCTCACTCTCAGTCATTCAACTGAAAGGTCATCACTGTCAGTAGTAAGACAGCTTGACGAATTACTGTGCTTGTACAGGTGCAAATGTACATGTTCATGTATCTCCTTCATTCTATTTCCTTGCCCTCAAATGGAAACTTTGCATTTTAATTGGCTGAATTGCTGAGTAGCTGGTCACTGTCATCGAGACGAGGCAATCCTCCTCCTGTTTTACCATCAAAACTTTCTGCAAAAAGTGCTACAATGCATTTGGGCCTGCGCTTGAGCTTGCTGGCCTGGCAGCAGCGGCTTCTTATTCCTGTCGACAGATTAGTCTATGAAATATAAGTAAGTTTCGGAAACATCAGGTTTACTGTTCTGTATGCATGTACATGTATGCACCAAAAACTCCTTGCCCCCATGTGTACATGTACATATACAGTACATTCATGCCATACATTGCTGAAATTCTGGCAAACGACCTCAACACATGGCAGCTGATCATGGTTACATGCCCCCAATCAGCCTGTTGCCCACCCTTGTATCCTGAAATTGTGATTACATTTGAATGAAGCTGCCATTCCCTTCTCTCTGCTCTGTAGGCGAGGTGGAACTGTTGAGCTGCATGCTTTGTGGTGGTTTCACCAAGAACCTGCAGGATGCTGTCATATGGTTCAGCAGTGGTGATACCAAGTCGGTTCTGCACTTTGATGCTCTAGATAACATCAACTGTGTCATGGATGGACGGAAGGAGTTTTTCTTAGTAGACAAGGTGAAAGTGTGTTACTCATACATGCATGCAGCTAAAATATTTTTGGCCAAGCGCAGATGTTGCATGAACTCTCAGGGCATTTTGCGATGAGCCTTCCGGAGTCCAGTGCTGTGCAGAAAATGCAAGGACGCATTATTTTTACCAAAACTTTTAAGTGGCCATCAAGCCCATCTTGCATGTACCGGTACCAGTAGACACACAGTACATGTACATGTATGTTCGCATATAGTTTACATATACCGGTATGTACTGGTAATTTTCGTAAACCTACCGGTACATGTACAACAGGTCCTCCATTGCCGCTAGATGGAAAAGGGTTGAGAGATACATGTACATGTACAGACATGTACATGTAGCTTTAGTGGTGGCTAGGTATCTCTCTCTGAAATCCTTAGAAACTCTTTGTTTCCTGTTTCAACCATGCCGTAACACTGCATGATAGGAAGCATACGTATTCAATTTAGGTGTTAGCCCCCTTGCATTTAATCCCCTCTTCTCTTACCGTAGTTGTGCTAAGCATGTTAGAGAACAGTAGTTAATCTCTGTTGGGATGAAGAAACCCCTTCCCCCTCAAAATAAGACCAACAAAACAAAAATGTTGCACAGTTCCTGGTCTGATTGTTCAGGATACATATGTACTTGTACTCATATGTGTACAGTGTACATTCGACCAACAATTATTATTCAGATATAATTGACCATTTGGATACAATTCAAAATTCTGTTCAATTGACAAAATTCGAAAGCCAAGTTACAAATGTACATGTACCTGTAAAGTCCTTCAGAAGGTGCAAGAATGGCCAAACACTTCTAAAACCCAAAACTGAAACATTCTGTGTTTGGAACTTTCCAAACGAGTACATGTACACTCACAAAACTGGGCCCATACATGTACATTTACAAAGTTTACATGTTGAAAGGTGCAGACTTAATCAGATGTGAGTAATGTGTTGTTAAAGACATTGAATAAAAAATGTCAAGATTTCTTGCTTCCTTTTTCAGTTGTCAGTAAAGCTTGCATGGGATTTTCACAAATGTACAAATGTACATGTACGTGTAGTACACATGCACATGTCATACCAACACAACGGTAAGCAAACAGGTGCATGTACAGGTACCTGTACTTGTAACTATCAGACAAAAATACAAAATTTCAGGCCTAATGTGCATGTATACGTACGTGTACCGTGTACCGGTATGTTATCTGCTGTGATGAGAAATTGTGAAAGTTTGACTTGATATCACCCTGTGTTGATCAAGAAATGACTGATTTCTTAATCTTCTCTCTGAGCAGACATGTGCAAAAAGTGCATCCTTTTCCATGCTGAAGCAAGCTGTGTCTTACTGGTGTGATCAAAAGTTATTTTAATCAATGATTTTTAGGGAAAAAATAACATGCTTTTTGAAAGGTTTAGTCTTGAGTAACACTTGGGTTGCCATGTTGGTTTGATTTAAGTGCCTAATTTTCAGAAAACTGATACATGTACACGTATGGTCGCAAACAAATAAAATTTAGTTGCTCAAATTCACATCCGTGGCCCAATCATTTTCAAACAAAATACCGACAACTGTGATGCCTTAACATTTCAATGGTCTTGACTTCAACTACAGAATGATAAAGCCAACGTCTTCATTGACCATCCAGAGGGTTCCTTCAGCGGTGTGGACGTGGATAAAGTTGACATGTACAAGTACCCAGGACTTAGCCAGGTGCCATGGTACAATGTCACCATGCAGCCAGGAGACTGTTTCTTCATTCCTTACAGGTTAATGCTCAATTCCTTTCATGGGCTATTTGTCCACCTTTTATTTATTCTCGTGGTGTAGTTTGGCACAAAAAATAATCAACATGTAGTATTTTGTTACAGAAAGGTTTCTTTCTACCGATAAATAAAATCCATTGCTTAAATTGTACGTGTATCTTCATGTAGCAAATCTCGTCTTTTCGCCGATTATGTTTGGCGTGTCATATGTCACTCTCTGTGGTCACATGGTTATTGAAAAAAGTCAGCGATTGGACAGTCCATGAATTGGTATCATGCAGTTAGCAATCAGGATGTTGTGGTGGGTGTGGATGCAGTGCATGCTTCGTGACATGCATGAGGTCCCATGGTTGTTTTGAAGAGATTTGGTGATATTTTTTTTATTGGCGTCACGAAAACGTCGAGATAACCGGATACAAGGCATTTATTATTCCGAAATTACGGTACATACATCTCCCAATACATGTAAACGTAATTCACACACATGACAACATGTAGATACCTGGTACATCTACATGTACATGTATCTGTACATCTGCACATGTGTGGTGCACATGTTGGGCATCCATCCAAGTCAGTTATATGCTAAGCTGTGCGGTTATAACGCCTAATTCTGTTAGGTCCCTTTGAGAGCGCTATAGGCCTAACGGGAATCTACTGTATTTCAGCTTTTCGATGTTCAGTGCTGGTCTCCGACTTCCACCCCAGCCAGCTTTGATTTCACCGGTTGCATTATATTTTGTGCAAAACCGAGAAACATACTGCCTTGAAATGTTAATGCTGTCTTCCTCAAGTAATCTTCTTGATATATATTCCAGAGAATTACAGTACTTTTGTCTCAGACTTATTTTCCTCCGCTTTCCATATTCAGAGATGCGCATGTTTGAAACCTCAGAGAACAAAAACTTCCTAATGTCTTCATGTACATGTACAAATACTACTTAATGAAGAAAGGTTGCAAAATTATTTCCCACTGCCAGAGAAAATCTGTGAAAACCTTTTGCCATTTGTGGGAAAAATCATGAAAATCTTTTGCCACTTTGGGGAAAATCTTTGAAAATATTATCCCACTTGTGTGAAGAGGTGTGAAAATATTTTCCCACTTTTGGCACACTTTGCGAAATGAAAAGGAATCCCTGGAAGAGAAAAGAATTGAAAAGATTTTTCCCATTTTGATGTTAACTTTCAATCGCAATGTATTGTATGCATCTCGTAACTTTACTTCAGTATCCTAAAACATTTTGTCAATAAAAGTGGGAATGCCAGGTGCACTTTGAATGCAACAAGAAAATAGTTCTTTTTAGGAAACTTTTTTTTTGTGCAGTCAAAACCAGACAAAACCTACCTGCAATCTCAGCAGTTCTTGTTCCTCAATGTACATGTACATGTAGGTTGAAGCAGGCACTGGTTTCTGTAGGACATGTACAGAAACCACTCTTTGGTCTGTGGTTTCATTCCACACCTAACACGCTTACTAATTCACATGATGCAAAACATGTTGTGGAGTGCTAAAATCATGGCAAAAATTTAAAACCATCAGGGACACACTCTGCTAATGGGACAGTACCGGTATCTTATAAATTAATATAATGTAATGTGTTTAACAGCACAAAGTAATTTATTAAATTGGTCGAGCTACATGTGCAGTGTACATGCACCTACCAGTAGACTGGTAAATGGATACTTGCATCTGTCAAAGTCTTCCGTGGAGATGGCTCTCTGGTGCTCCCTTCCGTACATGTGTATAGTGCACGTACATGTAGTAAATGGGAAACACCCTTGCATACTTTTTTGGAAGGTTTTTAATTTTGCAGATCTGTATTTGAGTCCTGGTGTGGGGTACATGTAGATCTCAGAGTGCGAAATTGGACCAAAAAAGTGCTCGGACAAAATGTCATAAAACAATCAATTTTGTTCTGCCATTACCAGCTTTTGATCTGCCATATCACATGTATAAAGGTAGAGTTGTAACTTGTCATGTAAAATTTGTGCACTCTGCACAGAACGCACTTTTAACACTCAACCACTTAATGCACACAACATTATGATTATTTAAGAATATATTTACATACATGTAACTTTGTGCATGTACTTCAGTAACTGTGTAGGTCTAGTGCACCATACTTGGGTTGAACTGGAGGAACTGCACGAACGCAGCCAACCACTACTGGTCCATATTACCTGGTACCCAGATTATGTGTCATGCATGGTCACCACAGAAAACCGGACATAGGTTGACAACATGACCTACCCACGTGTGTACCGGCACATACACGTGTGGCACTCGGTGACATGGGCCGGTGATGAGCGATCAGCCCTGATGAATGCCGTGGGCGTAATTAACGTAATTTAACACAAAACTAATAATAAATCGGATGCCATAATCCTACATATCGTGTTGATATTTTAAGAGCTGTTATTGATATTTTGGTCAGACAGCATCTTTGATTTTGCTTGGACAAACACAGTAAGTGCTCGGAAAATGTGAGATGCCCGACCGTAATTTCACGCTCTGAGATCTGATAATTTGTGACCGATGGCAAAGGGGAAAGTGGACCCCAAGATCTCTACATGTGCATGGATACAGTGTACATGTACATGTATTGCAGATGTGTATCCTCTTAAGTCAGAGCTTGCCTCTTGGTTCAGCAGGCTTAAAAGCAGCCCGCATGTCTCTGTGAACCAAGCACTGAATGAAAAATATGCAGGATATGGTATCCATTTGAAGCTACACGTAAACCGGTACACGTTGAATGCTCATTGTTTTGTGCGTGTTCTCAATGGTACTGTGGTACAATATTTGCGCATTCACACCGATAGTGGTAAGGCCGGTGCATTCTGATGTGAGTTATGAAGTGAAAGGAATTTGAGGTCACTCTGGCAAAAACTTCCCTGAAGCTGCAATGCATTCAACTTTGCCAGTATTTGATCTGACGTCACAAAATTGCATTCAAGTTTACGATCATGCCAAGCAGGAACTATCCTTCAGCAAGTGCAAAACCCAAGTCTTTTTCAATACTTGTGCCTTCTCTCAATCACAGGTGGTTCCATCAAGTTCGTTCTGCGGCAGGACGCAGCCTGGCCATCAACATTTGGTTTGTACACCTCCTGCAGTTCAACTCCAGTGACTGTAAGGCCAAAGGCAAGTTGCCCGACTTTGAACCTTTGGCGCAGTTTGAGCTGGCATCAGACTCAGAACAGCTCAGGTGAGGCACAATTTTCAGTTGTTGCCGGTCCGTGTGAATGCAAGATTGGCAACACTGTAACAAGCAATAACCCAAATGGTGTAGTGGTGTACTTTTTGTTGTCATTTATTTTAGTCATTAATGGTGAGTGAGGCTACTGGTTAAAATTCATTCCTTTGAATAAAAACGCTCTACACATTTGGCAGTGTACATGTAGATGATTTTTGGCCATAAATGAATACAGTAAACCAACTTGTTAAAAGTCAACAAGCTGGGGTGTGAAGTCTGCATTTTCTCTTCTTCAATTTTATTGCTGAATTGACATGAAAAATTGAACAAATGTCGAGGATTAACATTTTTGTCATTCACCAATACTTTTGCCATCTACACATGTATACTTCACTCAATGTGCTGCAATTTCTTTAAATCACACCAATTTTACCTGCTCAGCTGCAGACCAGGTACATGTATTTTTTTTAAATTCTTGCATTACAGAGGTGAAATAGCCAACTTCATTGACGAACTTGACGATGCAGAACTTCACATTGAAGACCTTTCTAAACTTGCTGCTGACTTGGAAATATCGGACCAGGAGTCACTGAAAGTGAGCCCATATTCCGATACATGTAGCTTCCTACAGGGTTATCATCATAATGTCAGGTTTTGTTTACTTTTTATCTTTGAGTGTGCTTCTCAGCACACTATTGATGACAGAAATAATTATCAAGCTGAGTCAGCCAGGCCATGCACAAACACGGCACTGCACATGTCACACAATTAGACATGTACTGCCTATTGAGAAGACATGCTTTACATTGCAACTAATGGTCCTCTGGTGAGAACTTGTTACATGTGTGCACAGGTTTATGCATGCTTGACATAAGATGTGCTGAGCACACACGATCCAGGCGCCCAAATGAAACATTGCCCATGAAAACTCTCTGCTCTTTACCAGGCGTGGGGGGAGGGGCTTCATGTTGGGGTGGACAAGCCCAAATCAAAAAAAGGATTCTTAAACTGTGAGCATTGTATCAGTAACATAGCCTTTCAGGGTTACTACATCCCAGGCACTTTCATTGTCAGCATTGTTGCTTTTTGCCCCCTTTTTGGAGGGGGGTGGTGGTGTTGAGAGACTACATGTAATGAGGTTCCTATCTGAAATACATGTATCTTTGTCAAGAACAGTCTTGTTATCCTCAAGGTACATGTGTGACATCAATGTTCGTGTACAAGTAGACTAATGTAAAATTAATGCAAATTATACAACCGTGTCTCTGACATGCATTGTAGTTGGTTCTGTGAATTCAGACATAATCTTGAATATGTACATAGAAATGACAAAAGTAAGCCAAACTCTGGTAATAATTGTTTTCATTTCCATGTGCAGGTGTTTCAAACTCTGGACCAGGACAAGGATGGTGGAGTCACCATAGATGAGGTCTACTCATGCAATATGAACAATGTCCAAGCCCAAGCTCCGGGATTAGCAACGAGGGACACAGATGGGGAGAAATTTGATGATAACCATGATGAGTTATGACCTCCACTTCTGTTGACTGCAGTTTGCCCAGACATCACTGAAATAATGGGTTTCATTGGCGTGTAAGTCTATGAACTGCAATGCCTTCCAAAGATTTTGTACAAACAGGGTATATATGAATATACCGGTAATGTTTTTTTTTTGCTACAAGTAATGCTAATGTGTTCAGATGCTTGAAGGCAGTACATGTATGTAACAGAACAGGTAGCTCATTCATAAGAAGCGAGTACATGTAAGAACAGGAAGTTGCCCTAACTACCCAAGTTTCAGCACTGTTCAGAGACATGAACATATATACTACAGTTCTCTGTCTTTTTTTGGTTTCCTCACAGATTACTTTAATATTACAAAATCACTCAATGTAATTATTTTGGCTGTGCATCTTTAATGTAAAGTACAGACTTATACATGTACATATACCTATAAAATATGTATTTGGTGTAAGCAGTTTAGTTTTGGAAACGCCAGGACCGTTTGTTGACAAGGTTACCTATATGTGCACACATAACGTACCTATGCATACATGTACATGTAGTAATGTAAATGTACATGTAAGCTTAAACAGTCACATGCAGGTCTGACTAATTCGTGTCTTACATTTTAATTCTTGGTTCAAAAAACGGTCCGCTTCAAAATGTACCTTTACTTGGAACAAATGCCAACCAATGATCAGTTCACACATATACATGTATTGCTGTTGCTATTTTTAACTGGGGTAGCTGCTCAGCAAATCACTGTTGAAAACGCAACAAGAAATTTACCTACTGTAATTGTACCTATACATGTATATGCATGTACAGGTCCAAGTTACTGGAAGCAGAACTAACATGTTTTTTTTTTCTTTTTTGCCTTTAATAGCATTATTAAGAGTATTTTAATATCTGTTAAACAATTTTACATGTCATATGTACAATATACATGTATGTAGATTACACAGGTACTTGTAGTTTGGGAAATTTTAGATTTTACAATTTGAACAAGCAATATCAAAACACAGATAGACAGCACCCGAGGAGTCTAGAAAAACAAGTTAAAGCAAAGCATTGTAATCTGAACTCATTTAATTTTGCCATTAAAGTGTCTAGTTACTGCAGGTATACGTACTGTACGCCGTTATTGGAAATTTATCTATAATTAATTATACATGTGCATAAACATAATTACAAACATCACTCAATATAGAGCCACAAAAGAAGTGAATACCAGATGTCACATTGCCATCAATGATATCTTGGAAGATCTCAATACACATACTATTATGTACCGGTACATGTACTATAGTACCGGTAGATTCCCATTATAGTGCTGTTAGAGGGATGGAACAAAATTTTGGCATACATACATTGTAAATACAGCACATTAACCAATGCAGCCCTGTTACGGTACGTACGTGTACGTTTTACACTGCACACTGTTCATCTTCAGAAAGTACATGTACACATATGGATGTACATGTACCTATGTAATTTTCCAGTACCAAATACATGTACATGTATGTAATGTTTGAAGGATGAATTTTGAGCATGATACCGGTACATGCCTTGTGCACGTACAGCCGTCTGCAGTTGTAACATTGTACAAAATATGTGTTTTATTGGTGTCTGGAGCCCAATAAAGTGGTCGCTTTATTTTTGGAGCCAATGGATTTTCTGCCTGTATGAAAATATGCACTGTGCAGGCTGCGTGAATCTGCATGAGGTGATAATGCGTGGTACGCTGGTTCCTGCTGCTAAAAACAGTGAGAGTAACACAATGGCTGGGAGCAAGTGGCCCTCATAACGACATGCTGACTAGTACATGTACATGCAAGTGCCAGTACCGATGTGGCGGTCTCGGCTGCCTCCTGGTCAGACATTTCAGCACGACACAAGCACAGTCTCGTTGGTCTTCCGTGCTGAGATGACTAACTCGCATGGTACTATAAGCGAGCGCAGATATGGCATGAAGTACATTTATTTTTACCATATTTGGTAAGGGGGACTGCTGAGACCGGCACACTGGTATGGGTATTTTCCAAAGTTGACTACCTGAATACAATATAAACCATCAGAAGGATTTCTGCAAGTTAACCAGATTCATGTGTACATTTACATGTACCCAGTACAAGCATACATTTACGTATTTTCCATTTTCATTTATTTATTATGGCTTATCCCAGTAGTTTTACACATAACAGTCATGATAGTCCAGTGACGTGCAATTTTCTGTCTGACTGTCACCAGGTACACACATCTACATGTATACATGTGGGTTGCCTTTTCACACTCATGCACTGCTGTTCTCACCAGTGTTGTAGTACTCGGTACTCGTACTCGAGTACTACTCAAGTACCGTTTTCACAGTACTCGTTCTTGTACTCAGACGTCCAAGTACTCGTACTCGAACTACA